AACAGAGACAGCGTTAGCAAACCAGAAACAACAGTGGGAGCTGGAAAAATCCCAACTCATGACCAGCCAACACCAAAGAGATGAAGTGGAGCAGCTAAAACAACAGCTGGAGTTACAGAAAGCTGAGGCAGAACAGGAGAAAGCCGCTCTCCATTTGGAGCAGCAGAAAATGAACCAATGCCATCAAGATGCTGCTAAAAAAGCCACTGAACTAGAAATGACTTTGGGTGCTGAGAAGGCTAAACACATACAAACAATGACATCCTTAGTCGAGAAAATGCGGGAAAGCTGTAAAATAAAGGCTGCTTTAGTCAAAATGGAGCAAGATATGGAGAAACAAAAAGATCTCTGGGACCAGGAAAGACTCAGACTCCTGGAGCAGCAGGAAACTCTTAGGAATGAGAAAGCAGCTATGAAAGATGGTCTACTCAATGAAAGGCAGGAGCAGCAATCAGAGAACACCTGCCCTCAACAGACCATTTTAGCATCCAAAGACGCTCTGGAAGAGCTACAGGAGGAGAATATGTCAACAGAGAGCAAAGAGGATGAACTGAAAAATCAGCCAGAGAAGATCAACAACTTACAAGGAAAACCTGCAAAGAAAACGTTTGGGAGAAAATTTAAAAATCTCTTTAAACGCTCTAAAAAGGAACATTGAAACCTCATGAAACCTCCTCCAACCAAACCATCGGTTTCTCCAAGCTTCAATTTGCTCTTTTTTGTTTTGACACCCATCTAGGGTGTCACCTTTTCTAACTTTTTCTTTACCACCACTCTTTTCACTTTTAATTTAAACGCTGTAGAATAAAAAAAAATAAAAAAATAAAAAAATAAATATAAATATAAAAAAAACATAAAAAAAAAACTTTAAAAAAACACCACAAAAAAAACAACACAAATATAAACAAATACACCTACAACACACACACACACACACACACACACACACACACACACACCCACACACACACACACACATATAATCCTGCCATGAGGATCACACTACTATGTGCTCCTGATGCTGGTCCCAAGCCCAGATAAAAGGAGAGGGTTATGTGAACATGTCAGCCTGATAGCTAGATAGAAAAATAGACAAAGCAAAAACATTTACATCTCATTAAGTTGTGCCAAGTTTAGTTTAGGGACCATGCAACGCTGCTAGCTGCTTTCAGAGAAGCTAAACCTGGGATCTGTTTCACGAAGCAGTTCAAACATTTGTTGGAATAAACATAGAATCCCAAAACTGTGGCCAAATTGTTAAACAACGTCTGCTATAGCGCCCTCTAGGGGGGAAAAAACCAGTGCTATAGTTCCACCTTTGTAGGGGTAAGTATTGGCATGGGTGCTGTGATACGATACTTGGGTCAGGATAAAATATTATCACGATATTGCAGTATCACTTTATGTTGCGATATTTTCTCTGTTGTCAAAATTAAATTAATAGATAAAAAATGCTGTATATGTTGATCAGAAGATATGGATCATTTACTTTTTTTGGTATTAATGTTGTTTGGGATTTGGGTCAGTCAGCGTTTTAAACTTGGACTGCCTCAACTACAGAAATGATGCTGCGCTGCACAGCAAAAAAGCTCTGCTGCACTACCTGCCAGAGTGGCACTGCATTGTTTTAGGTCAAACTTTTTTCGCTTTTAAAAAATTGATACTAGGAACTGAAAGATTGATATTATATCAGGCAGCCATAAATTACAAAATATCGCCCAAACGTTTTTTTTCCAACAGCCCTGCCCCTTGGGAGCTGAAACACATGCTAGTTGCTCTTGGGAGTCAAAGTGTGCGTTAGAGGGCCTATTGAGAGCAGAAATGCATGTTAAAGCGTCCTCTCTGGAGCCAAAATGAATGCTAAAATGAACACTCCCTTAGGAGCTAAAAGACATGCAATAGTGCCGTTTGGGAGTCAACAAAGGTCACAATACAATATATGATACAATATGAGGGGTTGGGATTTACCCTGTATGCAAGACGTGATCAGTTCTGCAAAGCTTTCAGCATATAACAAATAAAGATTAAGCAGTTAAACTCCACAAGTTTGAAAAATGTACTTTTTTTTATGGAAAGATGGTGTTCTGATCATTGTCACTCTATTAAATCATTTACCTTCTGAACTGTGGTGAAAGAGTTTATCAATACCTGCATTAAAAAACATTTTTAACCTGGTTTTCTATTCTGGTACATGCAGTTTTTATCATAAACCAAAATCGAGCCAAAATGTTCACTATATGCCCTCTCTGAAGCCAGAATGCGTGCTAATTTGCCCCCTCCTGAGCCAAAGCATAGACAAAAGTTCCCTCTTGGTTGGGGCTCAAAGTTACACAGTATGGTTTCAATTGCTTTTTTTTTTAGTCACTCGCATTATGAGTATCTTATATTTCTACATGTTTAATTATAGCACAATAACATATCCAGGTTTGGTTAGTGATCAATTATGAATGGTTATGTTAAAAAAAATGTAAATCCCTTTATGGTCCCACCATGGGGAAATTCACTCTCTGATTTTAACCCATCCCCTTATGTTTGTGTTGTTAAAGAAGTCCGGTCATATCCATAATACAAACTTCTGAAAGTACTTTAAATATTAACTTCTTACATACTGATCAATAAATGATAAGTGTTTTTAATTAAGAGTAATTTTCATTTGAATGTGCTTTACTGGAGGCATCCATGTTTGTCACTCTGACAACACTACTGCCACCTAGCAGGTATCGGCTGTTGATCAAGTCCCAGTGCTGTATCTGGTGTTTGTCACAACGCGCTATTATCCAAGTCATCTTGAAAACATTCTTCTTCCAAATGTTGGCAACATATTACGTGTTTTTTCTCTGGCAAGAAGTTTGATGTCAAATTCTCTCTCTTCAAGTTGGCAATCCAACGACCAACCCGTCCGTGGAGGATCAGGAATCAGAAAGGTGAAATGACTAATGTTTTTTTCACTTTTATCCCATGTATTCCAACATCCAGCTGCCATGCATGTGGGTATTGTCAGTTTCACTATAGCTCTGGTGAATTTCAATGGTGAAGTCCTCTGGAAATCTTCAATAATTGTTGTTGATTGCAGATGTGTCTAGTAGCTCCCATTGATTTAGCTTGGAAAGCGGGGAGAATGGCGCTAGGCTTACCGCACCGTGACATCACTGTCGGAAGATGGCAGGAGTGAGGTGCTACTACACTACCGTCAAAAGTTTGTGGTCACCCAAACAATTTTGTGTTTTCCTGAAAAGTCATACTCATCACCACCATACATTTTGAAATGATTAGAAAATAGAGTCAAGACATTGATAAGGTTAGAAATAATGATTTGTATTTGAAATAAGATTTTTTTAAATCAAGTCAAAGAATCCTCCATTTGCAGCAATTACGGCATTGCAGACCTTTGGCATTCTAGCTGTTAATTTGTTGAGGTAATCTGGAGAAATTGCACCCCTCGCTTCCAGAAGCAGCTCCCACAAGTTGGATTGGTTGGATGGGCACTTCTTGCGTACCATACGGTCAGCCTGCTCCCACAACAGCTCAATGGGGTTCAGATCAGGTGACTGTGCTGGCCACTCCATTACCGACAGAATACCAGCTGCCTGCTTCTGCTCTACATAGTTCTTGCACAATTTGGAGGTGTGTTTAGGGTCATTATCCTGTTGTAGGATGAAATTGGCTCCAATCAAGCGCTGTCCACTGGGTATGGCATGGTGTTGTAAAATGGAGTGATAGCCTTCCTTATTCAGAATCCCTTTTACCCTGTACAAATCTCCCACCCTAAGCGAAGCTACCCCAGACCATCACATTACCTCCACCATGCTTAACAGATGGCGTCAGGCATTCTTCCAGCATCTTTTCATTTGTTCTGCGTCTCTCAAACGTTCTTCTTTGTGATCCAAACACCTCAAACTTGGATTCATCCGTTCACAACACTTTTTTCCAGTCTTCCTCTGTCCAATGTCTGTGTTCTTTTGCCCATCTTAATCTTTTTCTTTTATTGGACAGTCTCAGATATGGCTTTTTCTTTGCCACTCTGCCCTGAAGCCCAGAATCCCACAGCCGCCTCTTCACTGTAAATGTTGACACTGGTGTTTTGCGGGTACTATTTAATGAAGATGCCAGTTGGGGACCTGTGAGGCGTCTGTTTCTCAAACTAGAGACTCTAATGTATTTATATTCTTGCTAAGTTGTGCAACGCAGCCTCCCACTTCTTTTTCTACTTTGGTTAGAGTGTTTGTGCTGTCTCTGAAGGGAGTAGTACACACCGTTGTAGGAAATCTTCAATTTCTTAGCAATTCCTTGCATGGAATAGCCTTCCTTTCTAAGAACAAGAATAGACTGTCGAGTTTCAGATGAAAGTTCTCTTTTTCTGGCCATTTTGGACCTTTAATTGACCCCACAAATGTGATGCTCCAGAAACTCAATCTGCTCAAAGGAAGGTCAGTTTTGCAGCTTCTGTAACGAGCTAAACTGTTTTCAGATGTGTGAACATGATTGCACAAGGGTTTTCTAATCATCAATTATTCTTCTGAGCCAATGAGCAAACACATTGTACCATTAGAACACTGGAGTGATAGTTGCTGGAAATGGGTCTCTATACACCTATGTAGATATTGCACCAAAAACCAGACATTTGCAGCTAGAATTGTCATTTACCACATTAGCAATATATCGATTGTATTTCTTTCAAGTTAAGACTAGTTTAAAGTTATCTTTATTGAAAAGTACAGTGCTTTTCCTTCAAAAAGAAGGAAATTTCTATGTGACCCCAAACTTTTGAACAGTAGTTTATATTTGGACAAAAATGGGCGCTCATTATATCACAGAGAATGTAATGTATTAGTTTTAGGTACAAATAATGATCCATACTCCCAGACTTTTCCTTTAAATGTAAATTGATCTCATTCCATGCCAAAATGTCTCACTTACCTGCTCATTAAAGACAAAATGCAATTATTTTAAGAAAAAATGTGTTACTGAGATATAAATTTTTTGCAAAGTGTCACTCTCACCACACTCCTCTGCCTACAGATTGTCTCAAGCTCCAGCTGGGTGTTCTCCAGCTCCATAGAGAGAGTCTTCTGCATGTTCTCGGCCTCCAGCCGCCTCGCCTCACTTTCCTCCAGCTGAACAGAAACACAGAGAGTTAGCTGTTATTACCCGATGTGACTCTCAGTAATGCTTCACTAAATGGCGACACACACCTGGCAGTGCAGACGCTCAATTTGGTCTTTGCTGCCGTCGGGAAGGTTCTGTCCAGAACTGTCGAGGGTGGCGAGGAGTAGCTGGGCGTCAGCCAACAGAGCGTGGGTTCTCTTCAAGTCTCTCCTTAGCTTCCTCTCTACATCGAAGTCTCTGTGTCCCACCTACATTAGACAACCTGGAATCATTACTGTAGCTCCATAAAGAAAGATTTATAATGACTGGGGGTACAGGAGGGGAAAATGGGATCAGCGTGTTGCTGATCTTCATGTTGTGAGACGGACAATTATGATTCAATTAAAGGTGGGGTATATGATCCTGGATAAACGGTTCCTGCCAGCTACATTTTTGAAAATACACACCTTCAGCCCACCCCACGAAACCACGCCTCCAAATTACATGAACGCGCCTGCTGTCAGTCGAGAATGTTCGGATGTTCCCGAGAACGAGAAAGAAACAGGCCGAGACCTCGCGAGTGCACGTGACTCGGGATGAGGCGAGAAGCTCATGTCTATTACTAGCTAACCACAACATAACAGGCTAACTTCCATGATGGCGTCGTCTTCTCCTAGTACGGTAAGAGTGTTGAACAATTCAATATGGTCGTAAACAAGTTGTCACGGTTGTCATTTCAAGAAGTATTGATTAGGGTGACCAAACGTCCGTATTTCCCGGGACATATCCGTATTTCACGTCCTGTCCCGGGCGTCCCGGGTTTTTTTTAGAAAGTGAGGAAATGTCCTGATTTCACTGCGCACGACGCTCCGTGTGACGTAATCCCTGAGCCGCGTCAGTGCAGGCAGCCCTGTTCTTAATCAGAGGCTCTGTTCAAAAACCTGGGCTGCATCCTCCAAGGACGCGGTCTACCTAGACTGGACCCTTCGAAGTCCTTGAAAATAAGGAGACCACAAGAGTTCTGTCTGTAAATTCGAACAGGTCCTCCCTTCAGCGGCACTTGGGGGGGGGGGGGTGTCACGAGTCTGTGAACGCGCAGGGGGGAGGGGTGGGGAGAGCTCAGAGCTGACGGTTGATGGGCGTGCCAGAAACCAGTAGAAGTAGGGATGATAGTTACTTCTATTGGTTTGCGTTTTCCTCTGACTACGCCCTCTACACTGGACTAAAAGATTTCGTTTTTTTTCCAAACATTCTATCTCAGTTGGCGCAATGGGCTCGTGAGGAGGTTTTCAATCAGTATGGTAAAAACATGCTCCAGAAAACATCACATACCCCACCTTTAACAAACGAATTAGGGAGTAAAAAAACTATAACTTCCATTTGAATATTTTCACATAAAGTTTTATTTTCTATTGAGTATATTTTGTTCCATTTACTGTTGCAAAGAACATGTTTTGTAAATATAAATTAGAAAAAAAAGCAATCCAGAAATTAAACTCTGAAAGTCATTTTAACCAAAAATGTTTTTCTAATAAACTTTGCCATTTTCTCCTTTTTCACTTTTTCAAATCGTTTTATTTTTTTGTTTTTTTATTAATCTTTTCTTCTATTTTAACAATTTTTTTGTTTGGACAGAGTTTTAAGAATTGCATCATTTCTAATGCTCGCACTGAACTAATCAAAAAACTGCTGCTAGCGTTCAAAGGTCACACACAGAAGTTTGTAAAACTCACTCTGAAAATGATAAATAAAGAAAAAATAATTAGAAAATCTGTGAGAAATTAAAAGTAAACATAAAAATGTAGGTTAATCCAATCTAACAAAACATATTTTGTGTCATTTTTTTATCACTTTTTTTTTCTCCAAATTTCCATTTACAAACGTGTTTTGGCTTTCAACATAAATGGAACAAAATGCACTCCATACTTTTCTGGAATAACTGTAGCTGCTCAGAAGTAACTTGTCCAGCCCCAAATTACGACCATGGACACCTTCAGAGTCCAAACATCCAGGCAGCATTGTGTTTATTGCTGGCTGTGATGCCTCAGCATCATAGGCAATTTCATAGAAATGCAAAACATTTCCAAGGGATTAAAGGGGAACGCCGTTTTTTCTTACATTGGGCCCTTGATTTTACGTTATTACATCATGTTCTACTTACCTATATGAGTTTTTTGTCATTTGGAGCTGTTCTGAAGATATTCCGTTAGGTTATATTCAAGTAACGTCTTCCTATGGGCAACGATTTGAAGGCACAAACTAAACTGTTCATAATTTATCATTTATGGTACGCCAGCAACAGCATTCAGAACATGTAGGCGAATCACTGTCCCCCAGACTCTTCTAGGGGACAGTGATTCCCAATCTAAAAAAACGGTGTTCTCCTTTAACATCAACTCTGTGTGTTCTTTGTATCTTGTGGCATGTCTCCATGCATGTTTGGGAGGGAACTTACCTGCTCACACAAAGTTGCAATGAGTCCCTCCAGGTCATGCTTCTCATGAATCACCATCTGCTTCTCCTCGTACTCCTGCTCCAACTGCATCTCCAGCTGCTTTAGCTGCACAAATCCACACATACAGTGTAAACATCAACGACTGTCCTGCATGGACATTAGTATGACTCAAGAACGATTCTCTTTGAGAAAACTTTAACTATTCAAATGCAAAAAAATAAATAAGTCAGTTAAATATTTAAAAAAAATACACTAATTAAAAAATGCACTGATTTAATTAAGTTTTCCTTAATGTTGAATTAGTTTTTGGATTAGATTTGTCATCCAAATTTCAGTTAGAAACCATTATCTCATTATCTACTTAAAACTGATCACAAAGGCAGGCTAGGCAGCTGAGGTGATCACAGATATCCTAAATATCACGGACTGCTGTTAATAACTCCTATGGCTGCCATTTTGTACAATTGAGGATCTAAGCATGCAGACTTCTGCAAACATTTGTAAAGTAATGGTTGCCTCTCCTCCAGGCTGTGGACGTATTGTCTATGTTCTGGGAATAATCCAGAATAATCCGACAGTCACCTCCGGGGCATATTGCTGAAAAAGAGAAGCTTGGACAAATTGGTCCTGCAGAACTACAGGTCATCTCAAACGTCCCATTCATCACTAAGATTCTTTAAAAAGTTGTGTATTAACCATTAAATGCCTTCTTAATAATGAACAGCTGCTTTGATGTCTTCCGGTCAGGTTTCCATGCCAACTACAGTACAGAAACTGGCCTGATTAAGGTGTTCAATGACATTTGAATAAATTCAGACTGTGGAAGAACCACAGTGCTGGTATTATTAGACCTCAGTGCAGCGTTTGATACTGTTGATCAGTTGATTTTATTAGAGCGCCTGGAAAACTGGGTCAGCCTTTCTGGTACCACACTGGGCAGGTTTAAATTCTACCTGAAAGACAGGAACTGCTATGTATCAGTAGAGAACTTTAAATTAGAGAAAAGAAAGATCTAATATGGGGTTCCTCACGGCTCCATTCTGGGGCCCCTCCTATTCATTATCTACATGCTCCCCTTGGCTCAGGTTATAGTGGACAACAAAATCGGTTACCATAACTATGCAGATGACACACAGACCGTGACTGTCAGCTGTCCCAGCATGCACTGTGGCAGCAGCAGCTTTTAAAGGAGCGCTCACAGAGCTCCAAATATTAAGTTAAAACTTCTCTTCCCTGTTGCTGTTTTTCAATAAAAGTATGTTTGAAGATGAAATGATGAATATTATTATATATTTGTTAACAATATATTAGGATAATCCTATATGTAAACATAATCACGACCTGAAGTCGTTCCCGTTATCAACTACATGAGAGTTCATGAGAGTAACATCTGTCAGACGATTAAATGTGCAGTGTTGTGCCTGAACGCGTTCATTGAACGAAAGTTCATGAACTCGTTCATGTTTTGGGCGAACGTGAACTGAACGTACTGCATTACTGCCTGATGAACGTTATTGTGAACTCGTTCATTCTGGTGTCTGTGAACGGCACGCTCTCTCAGTTCAACTCCGTTCAATAGGTTGCCAGATTTCTATAAAGCCCTCCAGGCGAAACCCCGGCTAAATCACACCGTAAACAGGCCTTAATATGTAGCGGGAAAAACACCCAATCTGGCAACACCAGCTACCAGCGTCGTAGCCTACAGCCGCGTGCGTCATCAAAACAAAATGCAGCATGGAAGCCACAGCGGCATGGAGACGACAAAGCAGCAGTATGATCACTTAAAACAGGTTTATGACCAGGTGGTCGGTGAGGATGATGACAACAATCTTACATTTCTCTGCAAACTTTGCCCGCCGGCTTTCAGTAAAAAAATCCGTATTTCAGTAACATCCAAAGCAAATCTGAAACGGCATATGTACTGAAATGGGATTTCAAATGGAAAAAAATATTAAAATTAAAAAAACATTTGCACCTTAAAGACTACTTTCCTGTTTTTCTTTTAATAATTCCTCATAAAAAAGACCATTCAAGCAGCCCATTTTTCCTGATGTTTTTGAGAATATACTGTAGGGGTGAAAGCTGCAGCTGCTACTAGTGTGAAGTGAATGGACAGCAACAAAGCGTTAAAGCAACAATGGGGAAATGCTGTCCCCTCAATGCTAATGTAAACCCTGGTTGGATAAGGATTCAAAACTGGATATGAAGATGAAATCTGACGCACAGTTTCAGAGTTACAACTGATAAAATAATTGCTGTCTGTGGTTCGACAGTAGGCTATGGTGTAATTGAGCAATATATGAAAAAAAAAAAAAAGAACTATGAACTAGTTAATTTTTTTGGAACTGTGAACTTAGTTCAAAATTTTGAATTATGAACTATGAACTGAACTAGTTCATTTTAAAATGTGTGAACTGAACTTTGAACTAGTTCACGTAGAAAGAGAACTTTCCCAACACTGTAAATGTGCATCAATTTTATGCAAAACCCACCCTTCTTTGAGAGGACTTATGGACATCCTCCAGCTCTTCTTCTTTGTCCTCCAACTCTTTCTGATGCATCTGCTTCATCCTCTCCATCTCTATCTCAAAACGCATGTGGATCTGTTTGATAAAGGATGTAAATGAGTTGAGACAGCGAGCAGAAAGTGTTGGGTTATCTTTTCTCCTGTACGCTCTTCAGCACCTGCTGCTGTTGCTGAATTTGGGCGGAGAGTTTGGACATTTCTTCAGCTCTCTCGCTGGCTTGGCTCTCCAGGAGACGAATCTGTTTCTTCATGTCAGGCACCGAATCTGAGGCGAGATCAACCGGCAGGCTGAGGTCTCTGATCTGAGCACACAACTCCTCCTTCTGCTTCTGCAGGCGACTCACCTCCGACTGGCTCTCCTGTATACACAGAAAAACACACAGTGTGGAGGCTGGTGTGGCTTCTAATAAAGTACATAAATACAGTAGAATATAGAAAGCAAGATGTTCATTAAGATGCAGTCTTTTGAAGCACATTTTGGATTAAAAAAAGGATTTTTATTTCGACTTTAGTGATTTACAATCCAACTTTCTCAACAGGCAACACAATAATGTTACCTCCTGTTCCCCAGGCCTCTTTTTAAGGAGCAAATAAAGTCAATAAATCTTCAGAACTACAATATTTATTAGAATTATTTTGGTGCCAAAATGAAAGGAATACTCCATGGAATATCTCACACATTATTGTTCCTCAGTTAGAGTCAGTGGATATGAACCACAGCAGAAAATTAAATATGAGATGGAAATATTTCAACCTAGAGAGACTCACACAGAGAAAAGACGCAGTTAGAAAATATTCCATTTATTTATACAGGTAACACAATCATATTTTTACAAATATTTCCATATTTATAACCGGCTGAGTGCGAGGACTCATTGACTCTATGCAATGCCTGGCGATGAGCATGCATTTAGCAACAGTGGAGAGGAAAACTCCCTTTTAACAGGAAGAAACTCAAGCAGAACCAGGCTCAGTGTGAGCGGCCATCTGCTGAGGTCGACTGGGGTTCAAGGAGACAGAAGCAGATAGAGACTAGGGGTGAAAATCACATCCATCATGGCGATTCGATTCAGTATCGATTTCCTGACCCAACGATTCGATTATTTTCGATACTCAAGAATACACCACGATTCAATTCGATTCGATTAATCGATTAATCGTTTTTTTTTTTTTTTTTTTTTTACACCTTACAGGCTAAACAAAGTTTCAAGTTTGAAATAAATCAATGAAAGCTGTAATATCATTATGCATTTTCTTTAGAAACAACAGCAAATAACAGAAGTAGAAAAGTTGCATCAAAAAATACTGCAAAAATACTGCACAATATCAGTGTAATGAGTTCAATGCAATACCTCGGCTCCAGAGAAACTGTCCAACATATTTTTTTAGAATGTAATAAATATACTCAGGAAAGAGAGATGTTGCTTAGAGAGTTCGACAGGAATAAAAATAAACTACATATAAGGGAATTGTTTCAAAGGTCATCTGGGGATGTAGTTTTTGGTAGAATTTTTAATTTTCTAAGAAGAACGGGTATTTTAGGGAGAATATAATAGTTTTTCTGGTCCATACTCCATTCTGGAAGGTGGCGGTAATGCACCTATAAGTTGTTTGCCAACCGCCATTAAAAAAAAGAAGAAGAAGAAGGCTTCAGAGTGTTGACGTCACCGCCCCCTTGAGAGACGCTCCGCTGCTCCTCTCCCAGATTGTAGCTGACCGCAAACAGTGCACCAGACAGGAGGCCGGCTTGTTTTGTTTTTATGACCGAAATTGCGGAAAACAACTCGTGAAGTTTGACCCGCTAGAAGAGCGAGGTGCGCGAGAACGCTGGGACCCTTTTTCCAGCTGAATCTCCGCTCTTTTTGCCCTCATGTCCCTTCGTCGTCGGACTAAACTCGTCCCCACTTCCTCACCGCCTCGGCCGTATCTAGACCCACAGTGTGTAGCACAGACCACACTTCAATACTGAGCATAATTTAAAAATGTCTGTGTGAAGCTTGCTGCAACAAAATGCTGTAAGAGTATAACCAGGAAGCGCGGTAGGAGGGCAAAATAGGTTTAGCGGCACCGCAGCACGGGAGGGAGAATTACGCCCAGGAGCAAATGGATAAAAATAGACCGGAGGGAAAAAAAACATGAATCGATTATCTTGCGGACGTGTCGATGCATCGGATCGTCGGCTTTTGGATCGATGCATCGATACAAAACGATTATTATTTACACCCCTAATAGAGACATAAATGAAATAAGGTCTTCGGCGCTCGGGCCATGGCAAAAGACTTCAATGCTGTAAATAAGCATTCGCTTGGATGAGAAACCTAGCATTAAAATAGTCTTCCTCCACGGCCTGGACACTGGTGGTGGAATAAGCCAAAGGGTGAGTTGGACTAAGAATGAGGGAGAAAGAAGCTAGGCCAAGAGCTAAATGAAAGAGATCTTGAAAGATGATTGGCTTTGGAGAGAAGGTGCTGCACCGAGGTGATTGGCTGGAGCTGAATGAGGGCCCTCGCAGGTGGTTCAGGTGAAGCTGATAAGAGCCTCCAGATTTAATTTCCCCTTAATCTTCATTTCTCTAAAGGAAGATTATCCAAATTATCAAAGACACCGTATTGGTGGACCTAACCAAATGATGTAGCAAATTTCATTAAAAAAAAAATGAAAGTATAAATATTTGAAAGGAGTATTGTGCAATAAAAAAAAAAAAGTTATCCTCCAGACTTTATCCCCGTCATAGGGTGAGCCAGAAGGTGAGAGTGATGGATCCTTCCTGCGTTCACACCCATGGCCAAGAAACTTTCTACAAGACATGAAGCTGAATCTGCTGCCACTGCAAACCTTCTTTCCTTCTTTTTATTTATTCCTTTTCTATATATATATATATATATATATTTTTTTTGGCGGGCGGTAAACAGCAGCTAGGTTAATACAGCGATCAAAGAAACCTTTGTCAGGTTTCTGTTTCTGTTATAGTATTCAGTCTTGCTTTACTCCTTGTTTTCTAGTGTTAGTGGTTTTATTTTGCTGTGTTTTTTTGTTTTTTTCTAGTTACTGTCCTAGTCTGGGTTCTGTTATGTTTTCTTTTGAGTGTTTAGTTTTCTTTTCTCAATGTTTTATATTCCTAGAAATTTAACATTGTGTTATTTCCAGTCTTTCAGGTTTATATTTGTTGCTCTCTGCTGCCCTCTTATGTTCTCCTTCTTCGCTAGCTCTTTCCCTCTCTTGTTCTGTGCACACCTGCTCCCAGTTTCCTCATTAGCCCTCTTTGTCTCAGTCTCCTTTAAAAGCCCTCTCTCTTCAGTTCCCCTTTGCTGGGTCCTCGTCTAACACCGTCAAACTTGCTCCAACTCCGTCTCTCTGAGCCTTACTCCTTATGATTGTGATTCCCCTGATGTCTCCATGGTTTCTGGTACGTTTAGACTAGTTTTCATGTTTTGATTTTTGGTTTTTTGGACTCCTGGTTTCATGTTTGTTTGGACTTTGTTTTCCTTTTGGATTTTTGGATAACCTGCCTCTGTTTTCTGCTAACTCATTATTAAATCCACAAGAGATTCATTTCTGCCTCCCTGCCTCTGCTTTTGGGTCAACTAACCTTAGCCAAATTGTGACAATCTTTATAAGCAGACCGGACGCCTCCGGGCGCATCACTGCTCGACACACCTGAGGGGAGCAGCTTTAACTTCTAATGCGTAACACATAATGCATAATTTCATGAGCATTAGGCAGTCATGCATTATGCATAAGTTAGGCTGTTGTTGGACATGAGTACTGGACTTGTTATGAATACTCTATGCATACGATCAAAATAAAAAAAAATACATAGAATGTTCAGCGTATGCCAGCGTTTCTGAGAGAAACTTTACCGCTTTTCCTAAATTGTATTGTTTCAAATGTTATTTTTAATTTTATTTTTCTAATTATTAATTTATTTCAAATTTCTCATTTTCAATTTGAGTTTAAAGAGGTCACTTCTCTTCACTTCTGGGGGCGGGCTTTCCTCTGTGTGTTACTATCGGTCTGTATGTTAGCAACAATATTTTATTAGTCAAGAAGAGAAGTTTGTTTTGGGAGTGAGGATAATGAGATCCAAAAAACATAAATCTAAAGAATTAAATAATTAAAACTCAATCTGAAGAAGAGACAATTGAACAAAAAATTATTTAATCCATAAAAAAACAAAATTAAGCTTGAAAAAATACAATTGAAAAAAATATAGAAGAAAAAAAACAGTTAAGTTACTCTTGAAAACTATTTTTAAATAAGAAGTTTTTCAAAGTTTCATTCCTGTATTTTTTTTTCCCTCAGATTTTCATTTGTCGGACATTTTCTTTTTGCAACAATAGTGGAACAAAATTCCAGCTTTTATTGTCGTTACACGGTCACAAGTACAGAGCAACGAAATTCACTCTCTGCATTGAACCCATCGCCATGGTGAGCATGGGCTGCCATCATGCGGCGCCCGGGGAGCAGTGTGGGGTTAAGGGTCGTTTTCCAGGGACTCAGAGTGGGGCTTTGAACTCAGAACCTAAGGATTCCAAATCCAATGCCCTAACCACTACGCCGCTGTAGCTACCAGATCTGCTTGGGTCCTGCTTCATGCCAGTGGCGTTACGCTTCATGATTGGCTGAACATTGCCACATGATGTAAAACTAAAATTGTGGTTGCCCAGACAACGATAATGACATCACACAGTGTCCGTGTGCAGAGTCGGGAGCATCTGTGGCGTTATCGTGTCTAATGACTGATAAAGTTTAACTGATGGATAACAAAACTGAAAAAAAATCTGTTCATGGTGAACAAAGTAAGTTTTAGACCTTGATATAAAGGGGGAGAGCTGGGTAGCGCTGTGGCTAACTGTGCTCAGTGGCCTCTTTTAGCTCGGTCAGTTAGCCATAGTAACCTCCACTACTTTTGAATTTGTATCAACAACAACCATTCGCTTTCTACAAGTAGAATGACTGTTTTTTTCTCTGTCTACAAAAGTCTTTTTTTAGAACTCTAGGAATTAATAAAAATAAATCTTCATAAAAAAGAATAAACCTTGTTAAATGGAAGAGCTCAGTCCTAGAAAGCAGCACTTTCCTTCAAGACTGACAATGATTGTTTTCTACTTTCGGCTACTTTAGATCACCAATGAAATGTAAAATAATAGCAAATAAAGGTAATAATATGTTGAGACTCCAAAAGAGATTTGATCCTTAAAAAATGGGTGCAATACAGTTTGTCCAAGAGGAGTTGTCGTATGATGACCAGATCAGGTACCTACACCGCATGTCACTACCCGATCCAACCAGAAGGCACGATTATTTCTGCGCATGCCCGAATAGATTTACATCTGGGTGTCCATAAATAATGTAATTATGATACTAAACCTACTTATTTCTATCCTTAACTCACTAAAGAATACTAATACACATCTGTAAAAAATGTTTTGTGACTCTTGTGAGACAATTTTTATGCTTTTTACATTTTCTTCGTTAAACCGCTTCTCTGACGTCTTCATCAGGCATGCTCAGAGCAGTCCGGCAAAATATGATTAAACCATGTTTATCTGCATTTTAGTTGTTTCTCTCTTTAGATTACGCACTATATAACATAATGTTAACATGTAAGGAAAACTCAAAAAACATATTTCCAAAGCCGAAACAGTTAGCCACAGGAAGTAGCGTAGTTTCCCATTTCCGGTGCAGATCGGGCAGAGAAGACTGATACAATAAAGGTTTTTAGACATTTATTTTCTCAGGAAATACATTATTAACCTTTAACACATTATATTGTAGTTAATTTACTAATTTGGAGGAGGGAAAGCGTCATTTAGGTATATTTAACAAATAAAATCGAGGATAACCCGGATGTATATCGGGATGCACAAATGAGCTGATGGCGCCTACGCAGAACGGATCGTGCCTCCGGGACGGATCGGGTAGTGACACCACACTGCCCTCATTCCCTCCATATTTACTTACTGCTAAATAAAAAGTCACATAATCTCGTCAATGTTTGGGGTTTGACGACATGTAGGACAGGTTGGTGTTGTGAGAACAAAAACATTACACAAACACACCTGTAGGCTGCGCCGCAGGTTGAATACTTCAGTCCCCAGAGCTGAATTCTCTTGTAAGACTTTTTCCTTTTGCTCTCTGGTGTTATTGGCTTCCTCTAAAGCCTGAGCCAGCTCATTATCAAACCTGCAACAACACAGAGAAGCACACCAATAACAGGCAGCAAGGGAGTTTGCTGGAAGGGAAGCATTATTAGTAGGAAACACTGTCATTAACACTGGCATTGTTGTTCATTAGTCAACTAGAGATGATGATGATGATGAAGGCGATATCTTTATTTTATTAGCAGGATGAAGATAAAATAGTAAAGGGAAGGGGAACCTTCTCTGTTTGCGCTCCAGTTCATGCATGCGGCTCTGCAGGGCATCGCTGAGCACTCTAGCATCCTGAAGGTCAGAGGTCACCCGGCGGCAGTGACGTTTCAGCTCCAACATGCTCCTCCGAGACTGCTCCAGCTGGGCCTGCAGTGCTGCGACCTGCGCACATTCACACCATTACACACGTGTGGGAGAGTTAATCTGCTTTCAGCGCTGCTGTGCACGTCGGCGTGTCCTTTCTCACCTTGGCGTCGAGCTGTTGCCTGGTCTGCCTCTCCGTCTCCAGCTTCTCCTCCGTCTGCTTCAGTCGCCTGCGGACGAACTCTACCTCCGTCTGGCAGCACTCCAGCTGCGTGGTGAGTTCACCCTCTGAATGATGGGACACACGGGTCTTAATTTGTCAGCCTGAGATGTCTTGAGTCTTAGTTCATTAAAGCTTTTGTTCTCTCAGGTGTTGCAGAGGGCAGGTCACAAACCCTCCATCAACAAACTTGAAGTAGCTGCAGGAAAAAACTTCCTGCAGTAAAACCTAAGGTTTGTTTTAGATTCCTTTGCACTATGCAGAAATGTCCGAACGTTTTTGTCTTTTAAAGCAACCAAACTTCAGTGTTTTGTTTTTTTTTTCTGATCATTTTGTTTTCCGTCTCGGCAGCAATAAATCCCCCACACCTGTTGCAGCTCCTCTCTGATTTGCAGCAGCTTGAGCTTTCTGCTTCTCCTCCTCAAGCTGCTTCTCCAGGGTTTCCATGGTAACTTTAAACTGGTCCAGCCGAGCCTTGGGGAAGTCAGAAATTGAATTTTTAGTCAAAGTAAACAGCAGAAATTAAAAGTTATCACCACAGTGAGTGTTGGTTCGATTAGCAGGCCAACCAGCAGGTCTTTGTTCTCCCTGCTGAGTCGAAGTCTCTCCGCCCTCTCCACATCCAGAGCCTGGCCCACCGCATCTCCACGGAAACGCTCATCGCTTAGCTCGGATGTCACAGCCGTAACCTACACATACAGATCATAGTTATAGCATTGTGGGTGTGTAGAGGGGGGGAGAAGGTGTGCTGCTTCCCAAACCTTGGTCTCCAGGCTGTCTGTTGCCTGCCTCAGCTCATTTCTCTCCTTCTCAGACTTCTCCAGGCGCCGCCTCAGAGCTGACACCTCATCCTTTAGGAAAAGGAAGGAGAAGCTTTTCAGAGACAGGAAGCATCACTTGTAGCGAATCGGAAAAATTTTCTGGATGAACTGTTGCTTTATTTTTGGCTTACGCAGCTGCAGCTCATTACTCTTCTTTCCTTCAAATTAAGCAACTTTTTTTTTTCTTAAATGTTTTAAACTCATTACATTCAGGGTAAATGTTCGTGTCTTTTTAGATAGTTGCGATCATTGTTGTGACATAAAATCTCACCATGCAAATTTCCTTAAATTTTTTTGCTTTGTTTTCTTATCTGATGCTGATTTTGAGCCTGACTCAGGATGGACTAATATTCAACTAACTCTCAAAGTGAAAATGCACAAAGATTCTTTATCTCTAGAATACCTTTAATGAATTCAGCTTTTTTCAAACTATTTTTGAAAATATTCAACGATTAATGCCCAGTCACCGTATATTGACACCCCTCCTCAGATGGAAAAGCCTTTATTGGAATTATGGCAGTGACACTTACAGAAACGTACCATTGTGATGAAAATGAAAAAGAGAGATCATATCTCTCCTATCCTGGCTTCTCTTCATTGGCTTCCTTTTAAATCCAGGATAGAATTTAAAATCCTCCTTCTCACATATAAAGCCTTAAATGGCCAAGCTCCATCTGATATCAGAGATCTGATTGTTCCTTATGTTCCTAACAGAGCACTTCGCTCTCAATCTGCAGGTTTACTAGTAGTTCCTAAAATTTCTAAAAGTAGAATGGGAGGCAGATCTTTTAGTTATCAGGCTCCTCTCCTGTGGAACCAACTACCAGTTTTAGTCCGTGAGGCAGACACCCTGTCTACTTTTAAGACTAGGCTTAAAACTTTCCTTTTTGATAAAGCTTATAGTTAGAGTGGCTCAGGTTATCCTGAGCTATCTCTATAGTTATGCTGCTATAGGCTTAGACTGCTGGAGGACATAGGGACCCCTTTTTTCATTGTTCTGCTTCATTCTATCTCTATTCTCCAACTCTGCAGAATCTTAGTTCAATCTCTAACGTTCAGCTCTCTCTGCTTTGTCTCATAGCAGCTTCATCTGGTCTGTTCCTGTTTGGCTGTGACTCCATCCTGGGGAGAAATATCTGCATTGCTGCTGCCATCAACACCTTTGTTTAGAGATGTTTGCATTTGGCCTGTTTTACACTGTAGTTCCATTTCTCTGACTGTAACTTGTGCAGCGTTCACACTGCAGGCCTTAATGCTCGATTCCGATTTTTTTTTTTTTGTTATGTACATTTTTTTAGCATCGACGTTCACATTTCCAAATATATGTGACTTGTATGTGGTCTCCTGTGTGAACTGCATTCATTGAGATTAAGTGTCTAGCATGCGCAGTAGAGGACACAAAGCAAGCGTACTCTGTGTTTACGGAAGTAAACATGGGTGGTAGTGTTGGAGCATCTAGCCATCTTTCTTAACCTTTAAAATTCAATCTTTTCAAGATGTTTAAAAATAAAGACTTCCCTCAGTATTATCGTTGGCCATGCTTGTTTTAATGGCGTACAGGTTAGATGAATGCGACCTGGCTTTTCAGACACAGGCCGCATTTCAAAAGATCAGATTTCTATCAGATTCAGGATCACATAGCCAAGTGGCCTGGGTTGCATTGGAAAAATCGGATCTGTTGTTTAGACCGCCATGAAAAGATCAGATACAGGTTGCATATAGGCAAATAAAATTGATCTGGGTCACTTCAGGCTGCTGTGTGAACGTAGCCTTAATGTATGTGCTATCTCTGCTTCTTTTTCTATCTCTGCTTCTGTCTCCTTGAATCCCAGTCGGCCTCAGCAGATGGCCGCTCACACTGAGCCTGGTTCTGCTTTAGGTTTTCTTCCTGTTAAAATTTAGTTTTCCTCTCCCCTGTCGCTACAAGCAGTGGTGTTGTAGTGTCTCACTTACCTCCTCAATTCAAAGCTTCTGTCAGCTTTTAACTTGGCCGTAAAGCTATTCTTTCATCTAACCACATCCAAAATGGTACTTTGCTGAATTGATGAATGTCTGACTACTCATCACCCTATTAAGTGGAGCAGTCATTGCTCACCACTTTAAAGTGGAAAGGAAACTAAACTAACTTCATTTATGAGATTGTGTCTTACTAATATAACAATTTTATCACAAATGAGAAAAATATAAAAGTATAATTTTTATAATTTTTTGCCATCTTGTATTACTCAAAGTAGTGACTTTACACTGTAGGTTGATTCTGTTGCTGCCAGTTGAATTAATTGAAACTCTAAAAAACTTTAGACAGTCTGGGATAAATGCAAAATCCCAGTACATTTCAGACAAAACAAGATCCTTAAACAGAGACTAGTGCATCCTAAAGACATAACCCCCAAACCTAAAATGAGCGGAGTGGTGTATGCAGTTCAATGCAGTGGGGAATGCTCTGAGGTCAAAACCAAACAACTTCTCCAAAGTTGATGGCCCAACACAGAAGAGCGACCTTCTCTGGACAAGACTCTGCTACACCTTATGGACAAGGGACATTCTTTTGTTGTTTTGGGGAAATGAATGTTCAGATTTTAGACAAAGAAGACAGGTGGTTTGAAAGGGGTGTGGAGGAAGCCATCTACACTCACCGGCCACTTTATTAGGTACCCCATGCTAGTAACGGGTTGGACCCCCCTTTGCCTTCAGAACTGCCTCAATTCTTCGTGGCATAGATTCAACAAGGTGCTGGAAGCATTTCTCAGGGTGTTTGGTCCATATTGACATGATAGCATCACACAGTTGCCGCAGATTTGTCAGCTGCACATCCATGATGCGAATCTCCCGTTCCACCACATCCCAAAGATGCTCTATTGGATTGAGATCTGGTGACTGTGGAGGCCATTTGAGTACAGTGAACTCATTGTCATGTTCAAGAAACCAGTCTGAGATGAGTCCAGCTTTATGACATGGCGCATTATCCTGCTGAAAGTAGCCATCAGAAGTTGGGTACATTGTGGTCATAAAGGGATGGACATGGTCAGCAACAATACTCAGGTAGGCTGTGGCGTCGCAACGATGCTCAATTGGTACCAAGGGGCCCAAAGAGTGCCAAGAAAATATTCCCCACACCATGACACCACCACCACCAGCCTGAACCGTTGATACAAGGCAGGATGGATCCATGCTTTCATGTTGTAGACGCCAAATTCTGACCCTACCATCCGAATGTCGCAGCAGAAATCGAGACTCATCAGACCAGGCAACGTTTTTCCAATCTTCTATTGTCCAATTTCGATGAGCTTGTGCAAATTGTAGCCTCAGTTTCCTGTTCTTAGCTGAAAGGAGTGGCACCCGGTGTGGTCTTCTGCTGCTGTAGCCCATCTGCCTCAAAGTTCGACGTACTGTGCGTTCAGAGATGCTCTTCTGCCCACCTTGGTTGTAACGGGTGGTTATTTGAGTCACTGTTGCTCTTCTATCAGCTCGAACCAGTCTGGCCATTCTCCTCTGACCTCTGGCATCAACAAGGCATTTCCGCCCACAGAACTGGCGCTCACTGGATGTTTTTTCTTTTTCGGACCATTCTCTGTAAACCCTAGAGATGGTTTTGCATGAAAATCCCAGTAGATCAGCAGTTTCTGAAATACTCAGACCAGCCCTTCTGGCACCAACAATCATGCCACGTTCAAAGTCACTCAAATCACCTTTCTTCCCCATACTGATGCTCGGTTTGAACTGCAGGAGATTGTCTTGACCATGTCTACATGCCTAAATGCACTGAGTTGCCGCCATGTGATTGGCTGCTTAGAAATTAAGTGTTAACGAGCAGTTGGACAGGTGTACCTAATAAAGTGGCTGGTGAGTGTATGTTAAGAAAGAAAAACCAACCTTAAACAGAGGGGGTAGACTCAGATTTTAGCTTTCAAAAACCTACAATGCAGAGATAGAGTTGATTCCTTCCCGCTATCATCACAGCCCCAGACCAGACCAAAGCACCTCCCTGTTTAGCCGAGACAAATATTCCCTCTAACGACCCCGCTTTACGAGACAAAGACAGGTATCAGGTATTGCAGGCTAACAAACAACCCAAACGACCCCCATTCCTAAGGGGTGGACCTGTTCGTCCGGTTCAATCTGCATGTTTTCTAAGCCAACAAAAGGCTTTGTTATTGGTCCACTGGCTCAACGCTATTTCTGACATTTTTAATTGAAAAAGCTTCCTGGATGGGAAGCGAAACGTCTTCAAACTTGGAAACAAAGTCCAGTGGATTGATTTTTAACCTTTTTTGGAATGATTATGACCTGGAAGACTAAGATGATGACTAAAGTTTTGTGTAAAAACTCTTAAAAGTACATTGAACTGAAAATGTCCGATTGGACTTACCTCCTTGGCTCTGAGTCTTTCGTTTTCCATGTTGACATCAAGCAAAGGACGTACCCTGCAGAAAAGTTTCCACCAGCTCCACTTGGATACAGTGTTCAAAACCCGTAGGTTCCTCTGCAGACATCTTACCGCCATCTGTTGTACCTGAAAAGACATATAATATAATCAAAATTTTTAAATTTTCTAATTAGTAATTATGGCTGCAGTAACAGTAAGGACCACAGTGTGGCAGTGAAGCAAAAGATTATCTTCTCTGATGTGTTTAAGGGTGGATCCAATGAAACTGAAGTACTGGGGTAACTGGGATACCTTCGGTTGCTCGACACGGTGCAAGACTCTGAGACAGAGCGACAGAGGAGGGCAGCAACTGACCGGTGTCTGAGACATCACTTAGGTGACATAGGTGCTAGGCTGCTAGAAGGACCTTTGCAACCTAGCACCCAGAGCACCCTGCTGTTGTTCATAATATTATCATGGCACTCTGTCCAAAAGCAGACATATTCATAGGACTAGGTGTATATTATCTATATACAGATAGAAACATTGATATCTTGTTTTCTATTTTCTCAGTGGGCCTAGAACAAGTGAAAATGACCCAAGCATTGGCTTGTATGATCGTAAAGAAAAAGGAGACAGAAAAACAGTATGATGATTGAATTAGAATTTCTTTAGGTAGAAACTGAAAGAGCTAGTTGTTCATAGAATTTCTAAAAGTAGAATGGGAGGCAGATCTTTTAGTTATCAGGCTCGTCTCCTGTGGAACCAACTCCCAGTTTTAGTCCGTGAGGCAGACACCCTGTCTACTTTTAAGGCTAGGCTTAAAACTTTCCTTTTTGATAAAGCTTATAGTTAGAGTGGCTCAGGTTATCCTGAGCTATCTCTATAGTTCTGCTGCTATAGACTTAGACTGCTGGAGGACATAGGGACCCTTTTTTCATTGTTCTGCTTCATTCTATCTCTATTCTTCCACTCTGCAGAATCTGTTAGTTCAATCTCTAACGTTCTGCTCTCTCTGCTTTTTCTCATAGTAGCTTCATCTGGTCTGTTCCTGTTCATCTGTTACTCCATCCTGAAGAGAAATACCAGCTATGTTGCTGCCATCAACACCTTTATTTATAGATTTAGTTTCCACTATTGCTACAAGCATGTTTGGCATACAAGCATGTTGCCTTCAGTTCAATGAGTCGATGCAATCAACTGGTTTTCCTCAGATAGAAAATTTAGAATCGATTTGACTGTACGATCTGGTTGAACTGTAAAGTGCCTTAAGATGACATGTTGTGAATTGGTGCTACTGTATATATATAAACTGAATTGAATAGTATAGTTTATGTGCAGGTATTTAAATATTACCACTTGTAGTATTTAATTAGTATTTAGCACTAATTAAGTATTTAATTAGGCATACACACTTTTGGTAAAAATTTTGCTTCAGAACATGTTTATAACTACCGGTATATAAATGTTGGTGAAAAAATTCTAATTGGCTGTGTTGTGACACAGAGATTGAGACTGAAGTAACTCACCTTGAGCTTGCGGTACATCTGACGTCCCAGATGTCCTTTACAGGCGGCCTGGAGGTAAACCAGCCACCCAGTGACCTGCTGATCCCTCTGCTGCTCCAGGTATTGTAACACACCTCGCTTCATGAAAACCTGAGACCCAGCAGAGAAAAACATTGTTGAATCATTCACTGATCCCTGTTTTTACTGGCTGGTTTATTCCAAACATGCTCTCACCCTGCTGGCACCAACTACGATGCTCTTTTTATCTATGTCCAGCTCGACCAGCAGCTCCTCCACTGCCTAAAAAAAATAATAATAAAGTGAGTTTATGATCTTTTTTCTAACAGAGAACTCTGGCGACTTGTACTCCTACCTTTCTTTCGTCGTGGCTGACAAATATGGAGGCATAACGCTTCATAATGGGAGGAGATAAAGCTTGAAAATAGCACCTGAAATCACTGAGTGTCATGTGTTCTGGATAACCTGCAAACAAAAAGAGAAGCTGGGAAATATGGGCTTTATAAGCATTCTAACCGCGGCATATTTGATTAGTTCAGAAGCTGTTTTTTTGTGTGAAATTTCTGTATAAAATTATTCCAGATTTTTTTAATGATAAAAAATAATCTGAAGCCACCCTGGTGAAAACTACACTGAATTTCAAAGCATGGAGCTACTGCAGCAGCTGAAGACCTCATTAGATGATTCCAGCTCAGGGGCCACATTTCACACAGGCCTAATAAATAAAAAATAAAAAAAAATCAGAAAGCTTATCTCATAATTACAAGATTTTATCTATATACAGTATTTAGTTATGATTACTTGAGCCAGTAATGTAGCATCTCTCAGAAAACCGGTGTTCATGATTACTTCTTTAGAATATTTGCACCTGATCCAGTGACCAGTTCTCTGTACCGAGGTCTGACCTGATAGGCGGAGCTCCTATTTTTCACTTCATCAACAAAGTACGCAGCTAAAACCCTTGGATTACTACTTGTGGAGTAAGCATGCAGCCTTATGACCATACGCGAAAATCTGTCAACAGCTCTATTAATACAGATTCTGTTTTGTTTTAGTTTCTCATGTGAATATTCATGCTGCATGAAGTTGGGACCTGGTCGTTTTAAATTATCTTGAACCGTCAGCTGTACTCATTGAGGATCTACGATTTTGAGCAAGTACCGGCGGACAGTTCTTTGGGAAACAACCGAGCCACCTGAAAAGCATTTCAGATGTATTCATTTCTAACCATAAAGAATCCCATGCTGGTTTTATTGTTCCTGCAGGAACAGTGCGACTTCCAGAAAGTCAGAGTGGGCTTTTTCGCCTAAAGCAAGGCATACACTGCGACTTTTTTTGCCCTATTCGGGCTGACTTTTCAGTCGTACGATAATCAAATAACCAATCGGGCCGACTTTCAGCCTGATCGTGCGTCGTGTAGCGTGCAGGGGGTTATGAGGGGGGATCAGCTTCACAACAACCTCCTCATCAGGAATCGTGAGGTCAGGAGAAAATCAAACAAGTTTGAAAGTCAGCTGGCCGTCATATGGTGTTCGTGGGCAAATCGCTCAGTGTGCAAAAAAGGATCTTCTTCTTCCTCTCAGATGAAAACACAGAAGCATGCCGCCTTCTCTTTTTAGGGCTTTCAGCACAAAATTGCACAAATTGCCAAGGCAGCACATTTCACTGTAGTAAGCTTTATATTACTCTTCTACTGGTTTGGCTTTCGGATAGACGAGTCCGAGTAGCGCATCTCACTGCGGAGCTGTGATCTGCAGCTACAACAGCACCGATTCCCAGATACCAGGCATTGGTACCGTATCGGTTTAAATGTGAACATGACCCAAGCCTAGATCCGAGTGATATCATTTCACGGAACGTTTATGGAAATCAAATCATAAAATTAGCTCCAAAACCTTTGAATTGCTGTCAGGCTTAAGAGAATTATGTGTGTTAAAGAAAGTCTTTTTACCTAAAAACATCCATTACCAACAAACCCCCGTCCCCCCCACACACACACAGTCTGCAAAAAATCTTTTCCAACCAAGACATGTAGCTTTCCTGATTTCAAGACTTTGTTGTCTTTTGCTGATAGAGTGTTCTAAACAATTTCAGCTAAAATTTGAGGTACGGCGGAGGCGGTTAGGGAGTGGAAAAACGCAAGGGGCAAGTTGTGCGAAAACTGAGGGACATGAGGTTAAAAAAAGAGCGGGGATCCAGGTGGAAGAAGGGTCCCAGCGTTCTCGCGCACCTCGCTCTTCTAGCTGGTCCAATTTCACAAGTCATTTTCCTTAATGGCGGTCATACAAACCAAACAAGCCAGGAAGGTACGAAACAGGAAATACGTATAGTGTAGAGCGGATGTAGATTTGACCAATCAGAGGCCTCCTGTCTGCGGTAACTGCAATTTTGGAGAGGCGCAAAAGAGTGTCTGAGGAAGAGGCAGGGGCATATCTGTGTTAACTGTGACACATGCAGACGACCTGGTTTCTGAGTATAAATCAGCCTTGAGCTTGGTTCCGCTGGATGTTTCTTCCTGTTAAAAGGGAGTTTTTGCTCTCCACTGTCACTACATGCATGCTATGCAATGCACGCAACAGTCTTCTGATTTTTGTTTTTGTCCTGTTCAGTATTATGGCAGCAGAACTGAAATCTGAGTACTGTGCCATACTTAACAAATTTGCTTTGCCAATGAAGGCTTTGTTGGTTAGACGCCCCCCACCCCGTCCCTTGATTACCCAAAACTACTTTATTTATAATTTTGTTACAGAATATACATGTGACCGATAATGCCGAACCTGACAGAGAGACAGAAAAAAGAAAAGCAGTTAAAAGGAAAGATATCCTTTGGACAGAAACAGAAAGAGAAAATAAACAACCAACAGAACTAGTCTACTGTTGCTACATGCTCATCCAGGAGGAGCGTGTTCTGCAAAGTTGATGACTGGAAGCCATCAGCTGGTTTTCCTTAGATAGAAACTTTGCGCTAATCTCACTGGAATATTTGTTTACATTTTCTCTGTAAAGTGCTTTATATGTTGTGCCATAAATAAACTGAATTGAATTATAAGTTTGGTCCATTGTTGATCCTGTTAACTGACGGTGTTGGTTACAAAAGCCCTACACACAAACCTGTGCGGTAGAGCTGAAGGGCCGACAGGATGTGAGTGCTGTGCAGCTGAGCTCTAAGGGCTGGGACATCAAAGGTGCCGCCGTTTGGTTTTGCATCCACACACTGCAGGAACACTGGCCTAGCTCGACGAATCAGGTTCACCAGAGCATCCTATAGGCAAAGATCCAAACAATGAGATGGTATCATGCTTTCTGACAAGTCAACATTTTGGCAGTAATGTCAAACTTACGTAGAAGGATTAGGGCCACTGAATAAAATAAAAAAAAGTTAACTTATCTTTGAATATTATTTCAGTTTAATATGGGAAAAAAGTCAGAATTTTGACTTTGACTTTAATCTCAGAATTCTAACTTTAATCTCAGAATTCTGACTGTATTCTGACAGCAAACGTTAACATTAAGCCGTAGCCATGTCTGTTTTAGAGACTAGCTCTCCTGTTTTAATCATCTTCTGCTCTTCCATTAATGAAATAGCATCACCAGGGACCCCTCGGGCACGTAAAAAGTCGCCTAATTCCTTCATTTTCCACCAATGTGTTACTGGCCCTCCAGAACAACTCACATCTTTGTCACTGAGGCTGAGTGTTTCACATCTCTTCCTTCATGTTGCCCTTTAAGATTAAGATCCAAAATTCTGAGATTAAAATTAGAATTCTGAGATTAAAGTCAGAATGCTGAAATTAAAATTAAAATTCTGAGATGAAAGTCAACATTCTGAGATTAAAATTAGAATTCCGAGATTAAAGTCAGAATTCTGAAATTAAAATTAAAATTCTGAGATCAAAGTCAACATTCTGAGATTCAAATTAGAATTCTGAGATTAAAGTCAGAATTCTGAGATTAAAGTCAGAATTCTGAGATTAAAGTCAGCATTCTGAGATTAAAATTAGAATTCTGAGATTAAAGTCAGCATTCTGAGATTAAAATTAGAATTCTGAGATTAAAGTCAGAATTCTGAGATTAAAGTCAGAATTCTGAGATTAAAGTCAGCATTCTGAGATTAAAATTAGAATTCTGAGATTAAAGTCAGAATTCTGAGATTAAAGTCAGCATTCTGAGATTAAAATTAGAATTCTGAGATTAAAGTCAGAATTTTGAGATTAAAGTCAGAATTCTGAGATTAAAGTCAGCATTCTGAGATTAAAATTAGAATTCTGAGATTAAAGTCAGAATTTTGAGATTAAAGTCAGAATTCTGAGATTAAAGTCAGCATTCTGAGATTAATATTAGAATTCTGAGATTAAAGTCAGAATTTTGAGATTAAAGTCAGAATTCTGAGATTAAAGTCAGCATTCTGAGATTAAAATTAGAATTCTGAGATTAAAGTCAGAATTCTGAGATTAAAGTCAGAATTCTGACCTTTTTCCCCAGATCAAACTGAAATAAAATTTAAAATCAGTTAAATTTTTTTATTGTTTCAGTGGCCCTAATCCTGTTCCGTACAAACTCACTGCTTGAAGCTTCACAGCTATACACTGGGAGTGTCTACGTATTGCTGCCATCCCACCACTGAAGGTTTTCCGGATGGTGCCGTTCCGCTGTAGAGCCCGCTGACTGCCGCCCTCCAACCCGCCCAGGCCTCGACACAGAGGGGGCAGGGAGATTCTTGGTGTGAACATAGTCTTCACCACACCTCTGAGAAGGCAGAGAGAAACTCCTCATCAAACGTGACAGAGCAACGAGTGCTTTGATCCAAAATGATATATCTAAGCTGGCTATATAGTGAGACGATAGACAAGAGTAAAAATTACATATAGTCCCTAGCCCAGCCCTGTGCCTCCTTGGGTGCATAGCCAGTCATCTGGATACTCACAAAGAGACTCTGCAATTCCTATTGATGTCGGCTAGAAAATCATTCAATCCAGCTATGGAAAAATGTACTTTCTTATTGTATTGAACTTATTGTATCAGAAAGATTAAGGTACTGTCTGAATGGAAAATTCTACGCTTTAAAAAAAAGATGGGAACGTACTCTCAAATACTTCCATATTTTAAAATTAGAAGACCAATAATGTGAATCCGAATAATATATATGTATATATGTATATCAAGTTTATGCATAAATTGGTTGCTTTTGTCAAGTGTTTGCTGTCATTTATGCACATGCCTCTGGGGGTTTTTTCTGTATCACTGCTGTATATGTTTTGTCCTGTTGTTGTTTCTTTTCTTTTCTCTTCCTTGTTCTTTCTTTCTTTTTATAAATGTTCAAAGTACCTAATAAGCATAATTAAAAAAAAAAGATCAAAGGATCAAATGTTTGCGGAACATTACCAATGAAATTGACACAGAAGCAGCACACGAGTTGGGGGGGATTCTTAAAACAACCTTAAAAATCATCCCCTTCTTAAATTACCATCCCCCCCATACCCCTTTGACATTTTATTAATAAATGTGCAAAATTTCTGCTATATATTAAAAGAAAAGTCTGGTCATATTCAGAATTCAAACTTCTGAAAATACTTTATGTATCAAATTATCAAATACTGATCAATAAATGATCAGTGTTTTTAATTCAGAGTAATTTTCATTTGAATGTGCTTTACTGGAGGCATCCATGTTTGTCAAAGAACACTACTGCCACCTACTGGTTTGTGACGTCATGGTGCGGTATCGGCTGTTGATCAAGTCCCATTGCTTTATCTGGTGTTTGTAACAACGCGCTATTATCCAAGTCATCTTGAAAACATTCTTCTTCTGTCATGGTCCAGGCACTGGTGGCTGGCTTGATTGCTCATTGCATCCACTTGTTTAGCTCTGCCTGTTTTCTTATCATATCTGATCCACCTGTTTTCAGCTCCTATATATACTTTTTGTTTTCCAGCTACCAGTGCCAGATTATTCGAGCTGTTTGGTGAGAGTAACTAGTGTTTTGATTATTATTCTGATTATTGGATTCAGACTTTTTTCTGTCTTGTGGATCCCGAGTTTTTCTTTGCCCCTGTCTGCACTATTAGTCTGATCTGTTCTGGACTGATCCCTGGATTCTACTGGCTTACGGAACCTGGAATGATTTTCTGACCTCGGCTTGGATTCCCTTTTCTGTTCCTCATCGGCTCTCTGATTGTCATTGGCATCAGCTCCGCTCCTCACCCAGAGCTCTGGGGGCGGCGCCCGTCACAAGCGGAGGATAATCTCCTTCTAAGAAGCATCACATCCCTCTGTGGTCGGACTGAACTCTGAACCAGGTCAGTGACTATTGCTCTTAGTCGTTATCAGCCCTTATTCTAGTCACTGACCTGAGTTTCCGTTTCTACAGAGGATCCGGTTTATCCGCTTCAGCTGACGAGCAGCCGCATGTTGTTTATTAATAAAGACTGTTTGAACTCATTCGGTTCTGTCTGTTTGAATATTGGGTCAAAGGTTTCGAGCCTGACATTTTCCAAATGTGGCTACATATGATTTTTTTCTCGGCCCAGAAGTTTGATGGCAAATCCTCCCTCTTTAAGTTGGGAATCCAACGAAGATCCCGACTGTGGAAAATCAGGAATCGGAAAGGTGAAATTACTCTTTCTTTCTTACTTTTACCTGATGTATTCCAACATCCAGCTGCCATGCACGTGGGCATTGTCAGTTTAACTCTAGCTCTGGTGAATTTCAATGGTGAAGTCCTCTGGAAATCTTCAAAGTTGTTGATTGCAGATGTGTCTAGTAGTTCCCATTGATTTTGCTTGTAAAGCGAGGAGAATGGCGCCAGGCTTACCGCACCGTGACGTCACTGCCGGAAGATGTCCGGAGTGAGGTGTTGCTACTGTATATGTGGGTAAAAATGGCCGCTCCCAGACTCAGTGATTGCAACGAAAATTATTGCTTTTATTTTTTTACTGATTAACGTTAAATTCATTAAATCATTGCAAACATATTAGTTTTAGGTATAAATAATGGCCCATTTGTTATTCCTTGCTGACGACCAAACTTTTCCTTTAAGGCCTTAAGTGATTATATTAAAGTAACATAGTCAGTAAAAGACACGTTTTAGGTTCCTCACAGACAATAGGTAAATACTGTCTAGTAAGTGAACTTGGCGGCATTTTTCCACCTGTTTTGGGTTTTATGCTTATAGACTACAAAAAAACTACAGGCAAATATAAGAGTTAAGTTCAGGTTTCCAAACTCACATGGTGGAATTTTGAAGCAGAGTAATGGCATTAAGAGCAGATGGGTTGTTCTGGATCCGACCGAACCATCCCGTCAGGTCATACCGGACAGGGTCACAGCCAGTCAGGTGGTTCACCTCGCACTGAAGAGGCTGCTCACACTGACGCACTGCAAGGACACACACACCTGAATTATGCAACACAGCTCTCCCTCCCATTGGAGACTAAGTGATCCTCTCTGGCTATCTGCCTCTTCCTCTCATATTTACCTGTGTTGCTGTAATACTGACAGACCCTCTCAAGGGCGGCACCTTCACAGGAGGCCGGTGTCATCATCTCCTCATCCAGAACCCACAGGAGACCTCGGGGGTCTACATCTGCTGCCCGGACCTAGATCACACAAACCCAAACCTTTTTATGTAAATCTTACTCTGATTCAGTCATATTATTCCTCGCTCTCACTGAACTTTCATTCACATTTGGACCTAAACAGAGATGGAAGCAGTCCTTAATGACACAAGTACCACTGGAGGTACTTTAACTCCTTTTGGAAGTAATCAAAGGAAATTTTGTCTAGTTTTAAATTTTCTAACGGTCGGAGAGATGAAAACGATCTTTGCTGTAATGAAAACCGATGAGTAAAAAGATAAGCGATTGAAAGGCGTTCCTCAGAGGTGAAGCACATTGGAAGACATTTTCAGACCCAACTGATTGGCTACTTTTAGCTACTGATACCCATTTATCTCTGTAGAGCTATTTGATTCAGGGAATATTATGAACTTTAGCTTTCCTGGAAGCTAATTTCCACCACTAAAAACTGCCACATGATATGTCATAATTATGAGATAAAGTAACATTTTCTACAGAAGGATATTGCTTTCACCAAAGAAAAAAAAAACAGACAGCTTTTCTCATAATTTAATAAGTCATTATATTAAATTACAATTTGAGGGATTTATCAACTGTTGATATTAATTGTAAGGTTATTCTATGTTAGCTTGTTTGCTAATGGATTTAAACATTAAATGAACATGTTCATAAATAGAGGACACGTGTATTTATGTAAGCAGGAGAATTTAGAAGATATAAACTACTATAAAATATTCATAATACTATATAAAATACTATAATAAAAATATTCAGAAAAGAACTGGAGGCAGATGTGGAGCTTAGATACTCGATCGCTGCTGTTCCAGATGATGATGCAATGCTAATGGTCATTAGCTTCTGTAATACCATGGCAGAGCCTAACTTCATTATAATAGGATAGCTCTTTTCATGTTCATTTAAAGTATTATAAATTAATTTATATTTATAAACTAACAGCTAGTTAAACTTTATCAGAGGTAGCAGGCCGTGTTTTCTTGCTGCGCTGCTGCGTTCCTGTTAGCGGATGGTTCTGTGCTGCCTCTATAATCCCCAGCATCACTAACTTCTACTGAGCTTAAACTTGCCGATGGTTCAACCGCATAATCCAACCTCAGACTAGATGTTTGAACAATCATGAATGTTTCCATTCATCTCCATTATAAAATACCACCCCCCCCCCCCCCCCCCCCCCCCCCCCCATGACCCCAAAACATTTCTGCAACTCTTTATATTCATGGCTACAATCAGGGCCGGGCCAGAGAGTTTTTTTCTTCTTATTTCAAGAATAAATATATTCAATAAATAAATAAATATTTTAAAGAAAAAAGGATTACAAGAATAAAATTGTAATATTATTTGAATAAAGTCATAAACATTACGAGAATAAAGTAGTAACATTACGAGAATAAAGTTGTAATATTATGAGCATAAAGTTGTAACATTACGAGCATAAAGTTGTAATATTATGAGCATAAAGTTGTAATATTACGAGAATAAAGTCATAAACATTACGAGCATAAAGTTGTAACATTATGAGAATGAGGTTGTAATATTATGAGCATAAAGTTGTAACATTACGAGCATAAAGTTGTAATATTATGAGCATAAAGTTGTAATATTACGAAAATAAAGTAATAAACATTACGAGAATAAAGTTGTAATATTACGAGAATAAGGTTGTAATATTACGAGAATAAAGTCATAAACATTACGAGAATAAAGTTGTAATATTATGAGCATAAAGTTGTAATATTACAAGAATAAAGTCATAAACATTACGAGCATAAAGTTGTAACATTATGAGAATAAGGTTGTAATATTACGAGAATAAAGTCATAAACATTACGAGAATAAAGTTGTAATATTACGAGAATAAGGTTGTAACATTACGAGAATAAAGTCATAAACATTGCTAGAATAAAGTTGTAATATTACGAGAATAAAGTCGGAACATTACGAGAATAAAGTTGTAATATTACGAGAATAAGGTTGTAATATTACGAGAATAAAGTCAGAACATTACGAGAATAAAGTTGTAATATTACGAGAATAAGGTTGTAATATTACGAGAATAAAGTCATAAACATTGCGAGAATAAAGTTGTAATATTACGAGAATAAAGTCTGAACATTACGAGAATAAAGTTGTAATATTACGAGAATAAAGTTGTAATATTACGAGAATAAGGTTGTAATATTACGAGAATAAAGTAATAAACATTGCGAGAATAAAGTTGTAATATTACGAGAATAAAGTCGGAACATTACGAGCATAAAGTTGTAACATTATGAGAATAAGGTTGTAATATTACGAGAATAAAGTCATAAACATTACGAGAATAAAGTTGTAATATTACGAGAATTAGGTTGTAACATTACGAGAATAAAGTCATAAACATTGCGAGAATAAAGTTGTAATATTACGAGAATAAAGTCGGAACATTACGAGAATAAAGTTGTAATATTACGAGAATAAGGTTGTAATATTACGAGAATAAAGTCAGAACATTACGAGAATAAAGTTGTAATATTACGAGAATAAGGTTGTAATATTACGAGAATAAAGTCATAAACATTGCGAGAATAAAGTTGTAATATTACGAGAATAAAGTCCGAACATTACGAGAATAAAGTTGTAATATTACGAGAATAAGGTTGTAATATTACGAGAATAAAGTCATAAACATTGCGAGAATAAAGTTGTAATATTACGAGAATAAAGTCGGAACATTACGAGAATAAAGTTGTAATATTACGAGAATAAGGTTGTAATATTACGAGAATAAAGTCATAAACATTGCGAGAATAAAGTTGTAATATTACGAGAATAAAGTTTTAATATTACGAGAATAAAGTCATAAACATTACGAGAATAAAGTTGTAATATTACAAGCATAAAGTCGTAACATTGCGAGAATAAAGTCATAATATTACGAGAATGAAGTCATCATACCACAACTGGTTTCAGAAACAAAGCTTCAAACTCTGACCAGCAGATGACGACCGACCAGCTCCACCAATCAGCAACCTGAATCCACTTTGACCTTCTGCCCAGTTTGAAGCTGGTGCTAAAAGGTTTCCTTATTTTTTAAAATCGATGCCAATGTATAACTTCACATGATACTTTACATTCCCCATTTTGTGGAAGAAAGTGCTTCTTGTAAGAGTTGCCATAAAATACAACTTGTTTCTCGTAATTTTAGGACTTTATTCTTGTAATGTCACAACTTTATTCTTGTAATGTTACGACTTTATTCTTGTAATGTTACGACTTTATTCTCGTAATTTTATGACTTTATTCTCGTAATTTTACGACTGTTTTCTTGCAGTTTACGACTTTATTCTCGTAATTTTATGACTTTATTCTTGTAATGTTACGACTTTATTCTAGTAATCTTATGACTTTATTCTCGGAAATGTATGACTTTATTCTTGAAATAGAAGAACAAAAAACTCTAGCCTGGCCCTAACACTTCGTAGTACATGGCAGGTTTTAGAAGAATAAAAAACAAAAAAACAAAACAGAAACATGAGTAGCCAGAAACCTTTACGCCTAATACTGATGTCTGCTAATTGGTCTGGGATTTTTCTTTTTCAGGTTGGTCTGGGTTCCTCTCTTGACCTAAGTAAGTGCTTTCACATAAAGCACTAATCTAGCACCAAGGGTCCCTCTGATGTCAGCATGCACTAATGAGTTTTTACTGGAAATAATCAGAGGCTGCTGCTGTGGATCTACTAAATATTGGATATTTGTGTTAAAAATAAGCCTTTTTGATTCCTAATAACTCAGAACCACCTGTAATGTCATGCGGCATGACTTTAATGCAAAATTACATTAAATCAATATCATGTCAACAACACATTTAAACACATCAGGAAATACATTTTACAAAATGCACCTCATCATCTTTTTGTTAAAGAAAAATGTGAAAATGATAATTTGTCTCTGAACGTAACTTCCTTTCACAGCCAGTAGAAGAAACCACCTGGCTTATCATACCTGCGGGGGCGACTGATCGATGGCGGAGACAACTTCTGAAGAGCTGCTCTCAGGGCACTCAAATTCCACATTAATCCTCTCCTGCATCAAAATACACAGAGCACCTGTGTCATAGCATTGTGATCTACAGTTTTACAAGGTTTAGTCATCGATTTATGCTTAAGCTGTCCGTTACCCAGGTAAATTCTACAACACAGTTTGTAAATGGAATAACATGGATTTAGTTTAAAAAAAGAAAAACTATTCCAATATCTAGTTTTTTTTTTAAGGCCAAAAATATTTCTCCCATTGGCAGACGCTCCAATGGGAATACACTTATTTTAGGAAACTTGAACTTATTTTCAGATCAAGTTTTGTGGTTGAGGATCAGATGAGGAGGAAAGGGGGAAAAGTTCTCAGTGTCATTCATGAAGAGTCAGAAAATCTAGTCTGGGTATTTCAGTTATTTCATACATAACCTTTTTAAAGAACAGAATAATTCAATAATCTTATATGTTTAAATAACTTCTTGCACTCTAAATTTAAATTAGAATTTTTGGCAAGACTTAAAAACTCCCCCAACTGCAAGGATTTTAATCTAAGTAGGAAATTATGAGCAATTTGCCAATACAATAAGATGATTTACATTTAAAATAAACCAAATGAAAACAAAAAAATCCATTATCTTGTTTCCTGTTTTTAATATCTAGTTATTATATTTTACAGCAAAAAATATTAATTTATTGGCAGATAATCCTAATTACCAGCTCAAAATAGAAGGAAAAACATTTATTCTAAGATATTTCTTTGATTGTTTCTAGATCTGTTTTTGCAGTGCAGTGCTCTCTTTTGGTTGGTTGGACATCATTAGGTGTTCCTCATTTCAGGGGTTTATATTAATCTATAAAGCATTGCTGGGTAAATTGAACTAGTTTGCTCCAATAACTACCTCTGTGTTCAAACAGATTTTAGTATTACATTAACCTTCTATCATGCAAAAATCTTTAAGACCTCTTAAATGACAAGCATTTATTCCCTTGATGGAGTTTAAGGATGTTATACAGGATGCAGTGAAGGTGGAAGGTTTCTCTGTTTTTATTAAGGGTTCAATCTGTAGTAATATTAATGCTGGAATCAATTTTTTCCTGTTATTATTTGTTTTTAATATGATAAACTGCAAAACTAAAAAATTCAGGAAATTATTTTTACTTGACAGGTACAGACAAGACAATTTGCCACTCAAATAAGATGTTTGACATATGAATAAAATAAAAAAAACAACTGCATTAATTATCTTGGTTACATAATATCTAATCATTTTACATTGAGGGAAAATATACTTATTTTAGGAAATCTTTATTTACTTTTAGATCTGTTTTTGCAGTGTATATACCCTAGGTTTTATTATCCATTACTGCATGTCTGCTACCACGGTCAGGTCTCTTTTATGATCTCAGCTAAATTCTCTGGTTAAATCAAGAATGTTCAAAAAGTGGAGATATTCCTTAACAGGGTTTGCAGCTGTAGCTGTTTTTTTGTTTTTGTTTTTTTTTTTTCAGGTTCGCAAACAAACTACAAAAGCTGATAAAAACTGAAAAAAAAAAGTTTTTAAAAAGTGTATTTAGCCTTAATTTCAGCAGGTAAATAAGATGATCTGCCAATGGAAGGAGTGTTTTTGCTAATAAAATATGACAATTTGATATTAAGCAGCTGAAACAAGATGATGGAGTTGTGTTTTCCTTATTATAAAATGTAAATCATCTTATTCCTTTGGTACACTAGGAAAAATTAAAATCTAAAGTATTTTTTTTCTTAAAATAAGTGAATTTTTTCTTGAATGAGGAGGTAAATGAGACATCTAGCTATAAGAAAAAAAAGCATTTTTTTATTTTAAGTGCATACTATCTAATTATCTTATTTTAAGAGTAAAATTACTAATTTCATTGGAAAATCATCTTCTGTACCTACTCAAATTAAGGGTAAATACGCTTAATTTAAGAAATGTTTACTTATTGTTGATCGTTTTTGCCGTATAAACTGTCTTACCTCCTCAAATCGAGGAAAATTCTTATAGTTTCAATTGTACTCTGGAAAAACGATCTACAAATAAGTAAAAATGACTAAATCAAGTGTATTTACCCTTAATTTGAGTAGGTAAATGAGATTGCCATTGGCATCAGTATTTTAACTTTTAAAATAAGATAATTAGATAACGCATGTGAAATAAGACAATGCAATTGTGTTTTCACATTTCAAATGTAAATTGTCTTGTTCCACTGGCAAAACGTCTCTTTTACCTCCTCAATCCAGAACAAATACACTTATTTTAAGAAAAAATTACTTGTCTAGATTTCAATTTATTCCAGTGCATGTATGACTTTACGTGTAAACCTATCACATAATGCAATAAATTATCATACATTTAGATTATTCTATAAAACTGTACTAGAACAATGAGTGGTGTTGCTCTATCTTACCTGTGCGTATCTCTCCAGTGAGTGTATGAAGGTGTGTGTGTGGTAATGCTCCAGCAGCCGCTCTTGCAGGTAGTTGTGACACAGCTCGGACCAGCAGGCTCCTCGCTCTTCTGCACAGTGTCTGGGGTTCCTCAGGCCTGGCGTGTCCACCACCATCACAGAGGCCAGCGCCAGCTGCTCACTGCTCAGTGCTCTGCTCAGGGGTTTGCAAAAACACAGCAAGTTGTAAGGCCATTTACCTTACAACCCCCCATAAGAAATATACAATGTGTATGAATAAAATGTTAATAAATTATTGTAGGCTTGAAACTTCAGAAGAGTGGTTCAGGGTAGTTATGCTGCTATAGGCTTAGACTGCTGGAGGACATAGGGACCCCTTTTTCATCATTCTGCTTCATTCTATCTCTATTCTCCCACTCTGCAGAAATAAATAAACTGAATTTAATTGAATTGAATTAAGGTAAGGATTTATTTTTAAATGGGTTTAAGCTTCCAGATTAAAGTACATACGTGTACAACTCTGTATTCCCTCTAGGATTACTCTGTAATTTATCTATTCTGCTTGTCAAACTGCAGTGCATAAACAAAGATTTTTTTTCAGTGTATTTTTACTTGATTTGAGCAGGTTTGTAAGACAATTTGTCAATGGAATAAAATTATTTTTGTTACATTATGTTTAAGACAAGAAAAACAAGTCAAAACAATCATTCCATTGGCAGATCATCTGCTCCAATTAAAGGTAAAGACTGAATTAAGAATATTTGCTAAAATAAAAAAAAATGTTTTTGTAGTGTGTGAAATAAAGGCAATGTATGCCCCATAGAAAATGGACCAAAAGTGTTCAATAAAATGTGTTTCTAAGGACCTGGAAAAGATCTGAGATCCATTCATACCTGTTGATCAGTGAGACTATGGTGGTGAAAAGCTCTTCATAGAGTCCAGCAGTCATCCCATCCAAACACTGGGAAGCTGTTAGACGGGGACCTGGAGTAAAACAGACTATGATCAAACAACTTCATGACAGCGTGCTGGTGCAGAGTTTGCAAAACAACTTGATAACAGATCTGTTTGCTTTGTCTTTAGGCAGCATTAATTATAATAACTGAACTTTACTGATCTCAGATTGGAGAAATTTACCTCTGCATTTAACCCATCCCTTTGGGGATCTGTGGGCTGCCATTGTGTGGCGCCCGGGGTGCAGTGTGTGGTTAAGGGTCTTGCTCAGGGACCCAAAGTGCAGGCTGTGGGGATCAAACTGGGTACTTGCACCCTTCCCAAACACAAGTGCACTGCTCTAACCACTAGAACAGGGGCAACCAATTGAAAATCAGTGGGGTCCAATTACAGAAAATAATCAACCAGTAAAGATCCGGAGACATTTTTACTGATAATCTGTTACTTTAAACAGAATTTAACACTGAAATAAAACACAGTTTTTAATGCATCCATGTTATATATTGAATTTTAATTTTGAAAATTGCCGGACACTCTGGAGAGCTTTACCATATTAAAAGGAGAAGCAGCGCAAGTGAAATTAGACACTATCGTCGGACAACATGTGGTAATTTATAAATGTTTTAAATCAGGTTGATTAGCCAGCAGGTGGGTCTGGATCTGGACCTGGACCACAGTCCGCTAATCCGTGACCTCTGCACTAGGCCATCTCACCCCCCATATATCTCTAAAGCTCCAATTCTCAATCATCTTTTTGTTATTTACAGTAAAAATGTCTGAGGATTTATCGGAGCCCCGCTAAACAAAACAGTTTTTACAAACTCAGACTGAAATCCTTAAATCTGAATTGATCTAGCCTCTGGTTGGAAACTTTCAAAACAGCCGCTATGAGTTAATTTAATTAACTCTGAGTAGGTTCACTTGGAAAAGAGCATCTGGTAACAAGTACGCACTGGAAAAACAATCTCCAAATAAGTAAAAATTTCTTTTTACCCTTAATTTGAGTAGGTAAATGAGAGAGTTTGCCAATGGAATGGAGTTTTTTTTTACTCTTAAAATAAGATAAATAGATAATATGTACTTGAAATAAATTGTGTTTTCTTATTTTAAATGTAAATTGTCTTGGTCTATTGGAAAAATGTCTATTTTACCTCCTCAATCCAAGAACAAATTCACTTATTTTAAGAAAAAAAATACTTATCTAGATTTCGATTTTTTTTCCAGTGTCAAAATCCATTATGAGTGGAGCACAGATTTGACGAGTCACCATGACAACAGGCTATTTCACAACACTGGAGCTAGAGATTTTAATGAAAAATGATAAAATATATATATTTAAGAAAGTGCATAGAGGAACAAGATTGATTTTAGGTATAAAAAAAAGTAAAGTTTTCAGTAAACCTGCTTTGCGACACGTTCCCCGGGTCACCTAAGGTCACAGATAAACTCCCTCCCATGTTTCCTTCTTTGTTTTGCTTTTGCCTTTCAGCAGGAAGTGCTTGCTCTCCACCTGTGACTCTCACCCTCATCAGATTCGTTCCTTTCTCTGCTGACTCCGGTGGCTTTCTGCAGAAGCTGCCGCAGGTGATGTTTAAAGACGGCAGTTTCCAGCTCCTCCGCCTCACATCCCAGTACGCTGCTGGCTGCCTGAGCGCTGTCAAAGTTCACAAACTGCCTTCTGCCCACTGCAGACAGAGAGAGATTACCTTGTACATCATTTAATTCACAGCAGCAACTTGAATAAGGTCGTTTTACAGAATTCTACTTTTCCAAGGAAGTTATCTTAGATTCATCTTAGATTCAACATCTATAAGTTATGCTTAGATCTTTGCTAAAAACTGAGATAAAGAAGCTGTTCAGGATATGCAGTCAGTCAATTTATTAGAACATTTGTCCGAACAAGGCTTTTGGAAAATAACACCTATATACATATATACACCTGGACAGGATTGCTGGTACCGCGCCTTTAATGAAAGATAACTCACAATTTTCACAGAAATAGCTTGAATGTGAGAAAAGAAATAAATAGAAGTTCTAATGGAAAAATGGAAAAATGAAAGTCAGACATTGCTTTTTAAATATGCCTTAAGAGAATGATTAAAAATGATAATAATAAACTCATAAAAACATGTCTGGGGGGAATATAAACGAGAATGGGATGCCCTGTTCCCTCCAATGGAAAAGGAAAGTAGTCCTTGCTATGGCAACACAGTCCCACCTCATATGCATGGCTGTAGTGCGGAGTGACATAAAATCAAACATGTGCCGCTTTCATAAAACAAATGTATCTGGTCAAATTGAAAGATTTCACAGAGGACCTTTCCTTTCTGAATTATTTGTTTTTTCATACAACTAACCTGTGATTTTATGTTGTTTGCTCAGCTTGAATTCAGCGAAGGCCAGATTCGTCGGCCAATTACGACAAACGCCGAGGATTGGAAGACTCCTCATTATGCGGCCGACAAATGCAGCTTTCTTTTTATCTGCTCTAAAGGACGGGTCCAGTGAAACCTACGTAGCCTTGGGTTTCCCATGATTCATTGCGAGTCCAAGCAAGCCGTGCTCAGAGGAAAAAGGTAAATGGCGCCAGACAGTGGTGAATGTTGCAAGTGCAACTGAATATAACACAAGTATGTGAATAGTTTCATCTGAAATGAATCAAAATTGTTGTTTTAAATGTTGTGTAAATGAGTTTGGCTGTAATTTAAGCACAAACTACAACATCTGTTGGAGTCTAGCTTTGTGAGTGAGTCAACTGTCACAGTTGCTAGGCAACAGATAGTACGGGTGGTCAAAGTCGGAGAAGGCTGGACCTGTTTGAATTCATAGCCAAAACTATTCCAGCCTCTGAAATAGAAATCAAATGCACAAGTTCCTCCGCCATTAGTTCGCCATTACACCCACTTGGAAATTCCAGCAAGCCTGCACTTATGCAGACTTGGTCCACTCGCCCTAACCACTACGTGGTTTGGGATGGCACCTTATGTGGCGGACCCTCCACGGGAATGAGCAAAGGGAGAGTGAGTGCAAAGGGTTAGTGTTTGAGGGTCGGTTTGGGATTGGGTCAATGAGTCGATGCAATCAGCTGGTTTTCCTTAGATAGTAAACTTTGAATCAATCTGACTGGATGATCTGGTTGAATTGTCTCTGTAAAGTGCCTTGAGATGAGTGTTGTGAATTGGCACTATATAAATAAACTTTATTTAATGTAATTAATTTTGATCAGGACCTGTCATCAAAGAGGTTTCTAGAATGTCCTTCTTTCATCTCTGGAAATTGCAGAATTTGGACTACTGTAATTCTTTACTGTCAGGAAGTCCACAAACTGTAGTTAAAAGCCTTAAACTGATCCAAAATGCTGCAGCCAGAGTTCTAATGATCATATTTCTCTGCTTGTATCTTTCCTTCATTGGCTTTCTTTAATTTAAGAATAGAATGTAAAAGTCCTCCTACTCACATATAAAACCCCAAATGACCAAGCTCCATCTAACATCAGAGATCTGATTGCTCCTTATGTTCCTAATAGAGCACTTCACTCTCAAACTGCAGGTTTAATAATTGTCCCTAGAATTTATCAAAGTAGAATCAGAGGCAGATCTTTGAGTTTCAGATTCTACTTTTAAGACTAGGAATAAAATCTTTCTTGTTGATTGATTTTATAGTTAGAGTTGTTCAGGTATTTCTAAAGATATGCTGCTATAGGATTAGACTGCTGGAGGACATAGGGAACTCCTTTCATTCTGCTTAATTGTATCCCTATGCTCCAAAAACTGAATTGCACTGATTGATAAAAGTTATTGACATGGTCTCTGTCCGTATGACTGGACTGAATTGACTTCTTCTTTTTGTAAAATGGCTTCAGAATTCGTGTCATTAATAACTAAATAACAATTTGAATGAGTTTTAGTTTCAGTTATAAATTATGAAAAATATTGAATTATAACAGGATATTATTATTTTAGAGATGTTCCAGTGCATACATTTGGGATTACCACAGAGGAGAGGCTTTGTTTATGACTGATATACTGCCTATTTAATGTGTCACCTTTACAGGCCCCAGCAGCTCCCAGGTGGTAAATAGCAGCCAGAACGTGCCAGATCGCCTTCTGCTCGCCGACAGAGAAGCTTAGTGTTTCCATGGCAGTCAGCAGCTTGGTGAAGGCAACAGACGCTCGCTGTTTTTCCTCCACCTGTAAGAACAAAGGCAGAGAAAGAAAGCAGGAGGATGGTTTGTGGTCAGTAAAGGCTGCCTGATAAGGTGGAAGAACATTTGAGTCACATTGCAGATAAAATAGATCTCCTTAATGGAGGTCAATCCATCCATCCATCCATTATCTGACACGCTTTGTCCCGAGTGGGGTCACGAGGGGTGCCTAAGTAAGTGATTTGTTCACCTGACAACACATTCTGAGCTATGTTTATTTATGAAAATAGCATTTTATTCCCTTGAAAAAAAATATATCAATTTGTTGCCGGTAATAATTAAAGTAATGATAGAGTCTATGTGCTGTAACTGCTTAGTCCCAAGTAGCCAAACTTTTCTATTGCCAGCAGGTGGCAGAGATGTGTCATTTAAACAGACAAATACCAGAACCTTTTTCGATGAGACTGAAAACATTGTCATCATCCTGGGAATGACTGTTGTCTGTAATAGGATATATAGTTATAAAAGGTTTTTTATTGATGTTTATATATAAACACAACGATCATTTCTGAATGAGTCATCTGATTTGGACCTCATGGCCCCTTTTATAAACCTGTCTGCTGTCAGACATACTTACTGATGATGGTAATTAGACTAGAAAAAGTACACGTAGGATAACAGCTTAAAATTATTCATGAGGCAGAAACCTTTACAAAAAAAGATTAAAAGATTAAATTTACACAGTTGAACTGTTTTTGGTATTTAGGATAATGAAAACTTAAACAGAGAGAAATAAAGTGGATTATGATTTAACATTCAATTAGGTAATTCACCATTTATGTCAACACAAAATTTAAATATCATCTCTCTGTCTGCACTGGAAAAACAATCTAGAAATAAGTAAAAATGTCATAAATTAAGTGTATTTACCCTTGATGAGTAGGTAAATTAGATAACTTGCCAATGGAATTAGTATTTCTACTCTTAAAATAAGATAATTAAATAATATGCACTGATATAAGACAATGGAGTTGTGCTTTCTTACTTCAAACCTTAATTGTCTTGATCCATTATCTTCTCAATCCAAGAACAAATGCACTTATTTTAAGAAAAAATTACTCATCAAGATTTTGATTTTTTTTTTTTTCCAGTGTGTGTTTGTCTGTCTCTAAATGCAGATTTTCAGTTTCTGAGGCCATGCACAATCAGCCATCAGAGTTTTTTGGGGGACCCATCTGTCTCCAGTCCCTCTTTGACATGAGAGCCAACAGCATGCTGTTTGGCTCCTCGTCACCTGCAGCTGTAATCAATGCAGCTCTAAGAACAGCTAACAGAGCGGATTTCCTCGGCCATCTAACTGCCTCCTGCTGCTGCTGCTGAGGTCGGCGTGAGACAGACTGCAGCTGCGTTTCACATGTTGAGGTTAGAGCGGTGACGCAGCAGCTGGTAATGAATGCTGTGATTTTCTGTGTGCAGACACTGAGCTGCTTGAGAGCGCCATCCGACTATAGTACAGAGCCATTTTTATCTGTAAAAGACACCTGTTGCACAGAAGAGAGCAATTTAGGATGGGGAATTTAAGAAGAGCTTTGTTTAACTTTGCTCTGACTTTTTCAAGTAAACCTGATCCAACAATGTGTCCTTAAAATGAGCAGGATTACTGTATCTCACAATTTATCCACTTAGAATTAGATTATCAGATGTTATGCACCTGAAATAAGATAATGAATATGTTTATTTTTTCTTATTCTAAACATCATCTGGCAGGCTGTGTGTTTCCTGGACTGAGCTGCTTTTTCTATCTCTGCTTCTGTCTCCTTGAACCCCAGTCGGCCTCGGCAGATGGCCGCTCACACTGACCCTGGTTCAGCTGGAGGTTTCTTCCTGTTAATGTTAGTGTGAGGGATTGCTGAAGAGTCAATGAGTCGATCAAATGGTTTTCCTTTGATAGAAAACTTTGAATCAATTTGACTGGATGAGCTGGTTGAATTGTATCTGTAAAGTGCCTCAAGATGATATGTGTCGTGAATTGGAGCTATATGAATAAACTGAATTGAATTTTACAGTCTAATATTTTTTCCCTCCCAAACACCAGAACGTCATTTATACGTTGGTTTTTAGGCTGAATTGAGTCGGTGTGTCATAGTCTTGATTTAGTCCAGAAATACTTGTTGAAAAATGGGCTGTGTTTAGTCGGTCCGATTTTTTCCCACTTTAGTCCAATAATAGACGTTTAAAAGATGTAGGGAACCCAGTCTTCAACGAATTTTCAACAATCTAATAATTAGGTCTGTTCACTATTCAATCAAATGAAGATTTTTGAATGTAAATGATGTCATCTTTTCAATGTTTTTTCTTTTTTTTGACTTTTTTTTTTTTCCATGTGAGAGCATTTGTCACAGTCTTGGTTTTCCATTTGTTGTCCTCTGCTGCCCTCTTGTGTCCTCTTTCCCTAGCTCTGTTTTCTGCTCTGTCCTCACCTGTTTTCAATCCCCTCGTTAGCCCTCTCTTTGTCTCTGTCCCCTTTAAAAGCCTCCCTCTTCAGTTCCTGTTTGCTGGATCCTCGTCAAACGTCTGTCTGCTTACCTCGTCTTTCCCTGGCTCCTAGAGTTTGGTTTCCCCTGATGTCTCCTTGGTTCTGGTTTGTTTATTATTTTTGTTGGATTTTTGATTCCTGCCTCCGTACCTGAGAACCTCATTAAACCCACCTAAATTCACCTCTGCCTACTCGCCTCTGCTTTTGGGTCCTCAATCCACACCAAATCCTGACAGCATTACAATACAAAGGTAGTTACTTTCAGGGAACGCACAATGTTACTACAGCCACTCACAATTAATTTTTGTATATATAAAATTATAAACAAAATATAAACAAAATATATAAGTTACATCTGAAATTACATCTAACAACTAACAGGGAAAGACAGGTCTACCTGAGTAGCAGGAGTAAATCATATACCAGGTGTTTTTGAAATAAAGTATGAGAGATACATTAATTTATTAATCCTTAGACGCTACAGAGCATAGATTAAATAACAGGCTTTGCATAGTCATCCATTCCATACTTCTCTTTGTTCGAGACCAGCGTGTTTCACCCACTTGGCCCACCTCTTAGTGAATATATTTTTCTGAAGGCGGAGGGAGAGGTTATCCTTTCCATAAGGTAAATGTCATTTACGATACTTGTCCAGTCTTGTACTGTGGGTTTGGTCAGGGACCAACCAACGTCTATCTTTTCAATGTCTTTTCAACTAATTTTTTCTCATTGGGTTTCTGTCTATTGATCCTATCTTTTTTGCTTTCTAAAGATAAATCTGAATGCATCTTTCTTATCAGTCATAATATTTTGACCGTTAGCATAGGTCTCAGAGATTTCCTTCATATCTGTCATTCTTCATGTAAGATGCATTCATGGCATTAAATCCAAACTGAGCTCTGGTGGGCCGTTCTCAACATTATATGATGGCCATATTGCTCTGATCACAGTGGAGAAGCATTCAGTGTTTCTGTTCTCTTTACACCTGACCTCACAGCTCCTCTTCCCCTTTTGTCAAACGTATTCCTGTGTTACCCATCATCAGCAGTCAGGCTCTCTGTACCTTGGTTGGCTGAAGTATACCAAAGGAGTTAGATTCAGGGAGTTGGTGCAGCTGCAGTTCTGTCCTGGGAAACAATAAATAGGAGATTTTAAAGAATAAGTCCTTAAGATTCACTATAAGTTACATCGGCTACTTTCTATCTAATCAAGCCTCTGTTTAAAATATGAGTTTATGATTTGTCACTGAACAGTAAGTCATAAATTAAAGGAGGCATTAAAACCTCTTAAAATCCACCTAATTTAGTGGTTAGGGCATAGAGCTTGGAATCCTGAGGTTCTCAGATCAAAACCCACTCCCACAGACTGCCACACTGGGTTCCTGATCAAAGACCCTTAACCCCACACTGCTCCAGGGGGGCTGCACAATGGCAGCCCACTGCTCCCCAAGTTAATTGTATTGCTCTGTACCTGTGACAGTGTAATGGAAATAAAAGATGAGAATTTTAGCTCAATAATATAATATTGTTTTGTGCAGGTCTCATACTAACTGTCACAGAGACAGACAAATATTTCTAAACATCCTTATGTTGCATAGGCCCCTTTATCCTTGCGGGGCTGGAGTGGAGATGTTGTTCCTGTAACAGGTAACCATTACAGAGACACATTTCCATGCTTAGGACAATTAATTTCTTCTTCTTGGTCTCCAGAAATAAACAGCTTTAAACCGAAGGCAAGATTAATGCTGCCATTTACACTGCAAAAAAAGGGTGTTCACCAGCATATTTCAATGTAGCATACCACTACATTCTAATTTGTAACAGCTACGGTGAAATTCAAATGATTTTTCATGAGTATGTTTGCCTTTTCGCTGACATCAGGATTATAATTATCCTTGTCTTGCTTATCTGTTCGAATACAAGAAAAAATAACCTGTTTTCAGTTTTTGCAGTGTATGAGGAACTCAGAAAAGCCCAACATCATTATCTGGAGTGTCTTTTGTTTAAGTCCTAAAAGTAGGGTTGCCAACTCCTTGGAAAAGTTGACGTGCCAGCTGACCCGATTTCCTTTATCCCTCCTTTGTGTGTGAAATGATTTTTTTAACTATTTGACTCAAATCTGCATTAGTGAGTGACATGAACACATGGAAAACAAATTATTATCCAGCAATGCACTTTAATACAAAATAACAAACTTTGCTGAATAAAATAAGTATCTTAAACATAAGCCTGTCCTGCTTAACTTCAAACTTTGAACATGATTAGAGAACAATAAATAAATAGTGCACATTTTTGGTGCAACTGCAAACTTGTAAACATATTTGCACCTTAAATGCAATGACTATTGGTTACAGTTAAAAACAAACCAAAAAATCATTAGCTCAATGCCACATTATGTTAGCCTGGGTGCCATTCCAAACTTAGTCCCGCCCACAACGTTTGAGTTCGGGAAGTTCGGTCTGGCATTGCTCAATAGTAGCGCGAGTATGCTTGCACAATATCTGGCGGGCCAATCAAATTGTCAGGGCGGGCTTTATACGATGATGGACAGATGAACAGTAACGTAATCAACCACGTGACCAAAGCGCGCTTGTGTGACAACAACAATGGCTGCCGCTGGAGAGTTTAGGTGTGTAGATTCTGCTATTAGTTCTGTTCTAGAAGATATCGACAGCAAATTAATTTTAAAAGAGGAACAGAGAAACGCGATCAAGGCTCATCTTCTTATTCTAGGTGTGCAACTGCACGCTTTGATTTTTGTTGACAACAACTATGCGTCACTTAACATACGTCACGCACTCCGTTTCTCTTATTGGTTGTAGGTCTATCCAATTGAGTGCATAGGCATTTTTTTTTCCTGGTTCGTTCGAAACACGCCCCATAATCACAGCTCTATGGAGCAGTATCAGACTCATATTCTGACTAGAATTGAGTAGGACTATGTCAGGCTAACATTATGTGGCGATAGCCTGCTTTTCCCACTTGTATTTCCTCTGACCTCTTGCAGCAGTGAGGAGTTGTCTGCCCCCAAAAGCAGCATCAGCATTTAATGACTCTTTTCGTCCCCCTTACTGCTCTGTTCTCTCCCGCTATCTTCTCCGTGAGCAACACTTGGCTTGACCAATGGGATGAGGGGATTCTGAATCGTTACATACATGCTGTCACCTCATTGGTCACAATGCAGGACAGGGACCGGGAACAAGTTTACCGTAAGTTCTGTATCTAACGTGCCATTGTTCTTTATTTTCCATTAGCTTTTTACTGACTATTTTCTTACTCTCACAGTAATACGGGACAAAGTGTGTTCCTTTTCCACTAAATACGGGACAGGGACGGAACGATTCTGTTTTTCAAGGGACGGTTGGCAACCCTACCCAGAAGGCTTCATTTATTTTAACCTTGGATTTTGCTAAACGTGACAAATAAAAAAAAAAAAACAATCTGACAAATTCTCCTTATTTAAAAACAGTCAAATAAAAACAATATATTGGAAATCCTACCTAACACTGAAAAAAACATTTTACTGATTTGATGTATAATCTTTAATTGGATCATTTCTGAGAGCATCACCTCATTTCTGTGCTGAGTCCCGCCAGCATCTGAGAGAAGACCAGGAAGTTGCTTTCTCCTGGAGTTTTCTGGCAGACTTTCCATTTGTCCAGCATCATAGTCTGTCAGAAAGAGAGCAAACACAGCAGGAGGAAATCAGCTTCGGTAAGTGTGACTGTCAGTCTGTGTGTTTGTCTGTGCTGCATACCTGCAGGTGTCCCGCAGAGACCTGACCGGCATGGTTAAAGTCCAGAGAGAAGACCATGGCAAATCGAGACGACGCGTCGCTGTGCTGCGAGCTCACGCAGCCAAAGGACCTCAGGATGGTGAACATGGCGTGCACACGCTCCACTGGTGAGACAATCACTTGTAAGACAAACTGTGTGTCTCTTTTGGTGTTTTAGTGGCTGAACACTCACCGCTGATGTTTTGTCCAGCTGTCCCGGCTTGTTTCAGCAGAGCATGTGTAAAAGCTTGGCATGTGGTGGTCTTGCCTGTGCCGCTTCGTCCCAGCGCACACACGCTGTGGTCCCTCCGGGTTCCAACCAACGACAAATATACCCGTTTGACAAGGGCTGCCAGAGCAGGAGGGGCGTCCCACAAAGACTCCCCTCGCCGTGATTTTGGTGTCTGTAAGAAAAAAAGCAAGAAATGAAAAAAAGGTGCTGACATTTTCTCGCTTTACATTTGTCGTCTGTTCAACTGACCTTGCTGTGGGTCTGAAGGGGGGGCCACAAACTGACCAGGTTGGGGCCAGCATGTGTGAGGGGCATGTTGGCTTTAGCTCGAGTGGTCAGAGTGTGCAGAACCCCGCTTTCATTCACGCTCCGCAGGTCGCTCAGATCTTCACACAGGTCCAGCTCTGACGGGTTACACTGAGAACACAAAGGGACACTCTGCTAGCGGGCCGCTCTGTCTTTTCTGCACAAACCGTCCAGTAAACCAGTGACTGTCTTCTGTTTTCTTGGAGTCTCTTCTGTTTTTACTTTTTGTCACATTTAGATGTTGCAGATCCACAAAACAGATTATTCTCATTAAATGGTAAACAGCCATGCAGTTTCAGTTCTGTTTTTTTTTTGGTCATGCTCTTCACCTCTAACCAGGGGCGGATTTACCATTAGGTAGACTAGGCAGTTGCCTAGGGCCCTAAGTTACTGGGGGGCCCATAAACTCCTGTTACAGGTATGGTTAATACGGCTATTATTCCTTTGTGGACATTAATTATGTTTGTGATTAAAATCCTTTTGTTTAAATGCCATTATAATGCTTATAATATTAAGTGTGTCTCAGAACCCCCCACTTTCAGAGTCCACCATATTGGATCAGTCCATTTACTGCACATCTACAGAAAGGTCCAAACAGACAGCAGAAATCCATTTGAAAACGAACAGTTGCGAAGAGCAGTGTTGCCAACTTAGCACTTTTGTCGCTATATTTAGCGACTTTTTAGACCCCTGTAGCACTTTGATTTCAAAAAAGTGCACATCGCCAAATATAGCAACTTTTTTCTGCTAATGGAGACTTCGGCAATAACATCTAAAAGCAGAGAACTCTGCTCTCCAGAGCAAGTAGACCCGCCTCCCGATCGCCTTATTTACTTTTGCCGTCGCCTTTTTGGAAACACAGGAAGGAACAATCAGCAAAGTTAGAATAGGCTCAGTGATTGGAAAATCTTTCATTCCTTTTGAGACAGCATGAAAAGTCAGCTGAGCATGTTGCCAATATGAAAAGAAAAAGGGACAAAAGAAAACAGAGACAAAAACAACAAGAAAAAGGGAGAGGGACAAAATGTAGAACATTTCTATTCTTTAAAAATTCCTGTATCTGTATAATGGGTCTGTTTTATGAGTTGTCTTCTCAATTCAGAGGGGCCCCCTGCCTGTCTTTGCCTAGGGCCCCAAACTTCCTAAATCCATCCCTGCCTCTAAGCTCAAACAACAACCTGTCAGACAGCATGAAGTAGAATAAAAGATTTTAAAAGCAACACAGATCCAACCTACTGATCAAAAATTGGTTGAAAAGATATGACGTCTACATTTGGTTGAAAAGTGAAAGTTGAACAGCTCTACATTTTCAGATCGTTGTGACAAAGTTTAAAAACTGGTTTTCAACGTCTTTTAATGTCTATTATTGGACTAAAGTGGGAAAACATCACACTGAGGAAACACAGCCCAATTTTCATCAAGCATTTCTGCACTAAATCAAGACTATGACGTACCGATCAGATTTAGCCTAAGAACCAATGAGGTCTGGTGTTTGGATAGAATCAGACGAGGAGGAGCAGTCATTGCCATCTCTCATTCTGGAATGATCTACCAGATTCTACCTGATGCTCTGGGACTCCTATAGAACCAGTTAGAACTGTTAACCCAAAAAATGGAACAATGGCAAATTCCTCTGGTGCCAAAATGACTCCAAGAATATAATGACTCACTCAGAAGGTCACAGAATCATCCAGAACATCTTAAAACTGAAGGCCTCACTTGTCTCAGCTAAGGTCAGTGTTAACACAAACCCGTTGCCGCATCAAAAACACGTCCAATGCCTCAACTTGGACCCTTGTGCATAATGAAGTGAGACGCTCTGAACGCTCCGAGTTCGAAGCTCTGGACTCTGCTGTGTAATCTGGAGAGCGGCTTGGCTTTATTTGCTTTGATGAACAGGGAGATCTGTGCAGTCAGTCATCAGGATAATGACTTAAATAGTGAAAGCTCTCTGAAGCTGGTCAGGCTGTCAGAAGTATTTGTTTTTAAGTTTGGTAAAAACTGCAAATACAAGAAAATAAAATCTACAATTCTGCATTTTAATTATTAAGACATTTCTAAACTTTATGTACAGTTAAAGTCGTAGGGAAACGCACTTCCAAATTCTCCCGAGTTGTGCCCAACTTTACACGAGTGAATAAAGTGAATTGATTGGTTTTTTATCAAGAGGGCGAGATTGTTGTGGCAGAAGGTTCACAAGCAAGTTTGATTGTGACCGGTTTGTTGGAAGCATCTTGCTAACCAGTTAGCAACTTAGTGCTAGTAGGTTCCCAATGGGAAATTCCATTGGGACCAAGTAGCACTAAATTGGTGAAACGACACTGTCAAGGAACGGTATGGACAGAGGAAACATGCAAGAGGAGGAGAGTTTAGTGTCGGAGGTCGTGGATGAGTCTCCTCCATCATACATTTTTTATTTAGAGGAGGAAAGCGGGGATGAAGATGTAGTGGAAGAGGACGCCAGGGCGGCAGAAGCTTGGTTTGGTGTAGAAGGCTTCCAGCCGTACATGTTTGAGCTCTTCCCTCGCAACGCTGCCAGTTCTGTTAGCTCTATGGTTAATTTAATGGTAAAGTAATAAAGAATAAATGATTCTTATTTCCTATTGCAACATATGAATCAAGATGCTTTGACCCAAAAAATTTGATTGACGGATGACCGTTGATATATGATTGGCCGAATTTAGGTGTACGAGCTGACGTAAAACTAACTGGCCTGCATAAAATAATAAAGAAAAAAAACCGATAGATTTTAAGACATTTAAGACAAGAAATTTTCTAAATTTTGGGATAAGATCGTCTGATAAAGAGTACATTTATATACGTGTTTAAGCCAGAATGATTTGACATTTAAATATGACTTTCCTACGACTTTAAGTAAGAAAACATTTTATGGAGTTATGATGATCAGAGCTCTCTGTTCCTTGACATAAAGAAAAATTCTCCTGGCTTTGTATGTCAAACCAGTGGAGCGTAACCCCTTTATATGAGGCTAATTTTCATAGTTTTATGCTGACAGCTCTGCAGAAGTAGCGATCACAGCCTGCATCTCTCCCTGACAGCCCTTGGATCAGCTTCTCTGATTGGTTGACATTCAGTGTCCAGCTGCAAAAGTTCAGATCTCAATTTCATTGGGTCTGAGAGTCTGGTTACCAGGAGACTGAGGAAAATGTCATCCCAGGAAGAGAATAAGTCCGAAATGAACACAAATATTCATCACACGTTTGCCACAAACATCTCGAGACTATCTACCTGCTCATCCACGATGAAGAAATCCATCAAAGTCAATGACTGGAAGGCCTGGGCGGGTTTTAGTTGTTTAATTCCGAGTGGATGATCTGATTGAATTGTTTTTATAAAAAGCTTTTAGATTTAATTCAATTCCATTCAGTTTATTTCTATGGCACCAATTCACAAAACATGTGATCTCAAGGCACTTTACAGTTCACCAGATCATCCAGTCAGATTGATTCAACTTTTTATATTTAAGGAAAATCAGTTGATCACATCGACTCATTAACTTGCAAACAATCCCTTTCACTAAGCATGCTTGTAGCGACAGTGGAGAGGAAAAACTCCCTTTTAACAGGAAAAAACCTCTAGCAGAACCAGACTCAGTGTGAGCGGCCATCTGCCGAGGCCGACTGGGGTTCAAGGAGACAGAAGCAGAGATACAGAAATAGCAACTGTAAACCAGCTTCATAGGTGGCCCCGTCCAGGAAACACACAGCCAAGCAGATGAGCTCAGAGCCAGCTCCCATGTCAGAGGATGAAGAGAGCACATCCAGCCAGTCACAGTCAGAGAAACAGGACTACACTGAAAAACAGGCCAATCTCCAGCATCTATAAACAAAGGTGTTGATGGAAGCAGCACAGCTGATATTTCTCTCCAGGATGAAATCACAGTAACTTAACTGAATTTAATTGAAGCTGAATTATTGCACCAGAAAAAATGATCATGAGCATAACCAAAAATCTCCTAATAGCTCAATGTAAAGGTTTTGTTGTGACCTAGTCAAAGTCCTCATCAGGTTAAAATGCAAGTGGGTAAACTGCTGCACTGGCTTCTTTCCAAAGAGGCACATGCAGTTAGCTTTAGGTTACAGGGAGCCAGGTTCCTTCTGTTTTTAAAGTTTTGTTTTATTTACTCCTTGTTCCTGATCAAGACAGGACATTATGAGAATTACTATAAAAGCTGCTGATGGACCTTCAGAGCATCTGATAAGCAATGGCTGCCCTAAAGTATAGAAATTAATAACCGTTATGTTATTATTTCCTGTTTTAAACTTGGATAATGTGCATAAAAGAGATTAATATAAGGACATTTCAAAATGTAGACTTTTAAAAGTAAAATTAAGAGTCACCTTCTCAACTTCCACCTCTGCAACATCATGGAACGACCCGTCTGTTTCCAGGCGGACTCTCACCCGGCCTTCTGGGAGTTCAGGTGTGCCTTCATCTGGCTTCAGCTGAATGGCTGGAAAGACAAGAAATGAGGTTCTGAAAACAGACAATCCCTCATGTTCTTCTGAGCTGATGACGGCTCACAGGAAAGGACATCGCAGCTCTAACTGGATCAGCGCCAGGCAGTGAGTAGACGGGCAGCCAGGCTGGATATAAACAGCAGCTGTAACTAATCTAGAACATGATCGGCAGCCAATGCAAAAGGCTGGATCACTACAGATTGTGAGTGGATTAACAGATGATTTTACTAATCCCAAATCACATTACTGGAGAGATAGAGTCCGTTTAGACAAGGTGACAAACCGCTTTTATCTCTGTCAAAAGGTCCAACATAAAATCAGAAAAGGAAGACTAGTCTCAGCTGTGATGGTTCTAAGCTTTTGAGCTATAAATTACGAATAATGTTTGTATTTTTGTTATCAAGCTGATGAATTTTGAATATCTTGTCTAAATACAACATGATGACGTAGTGAACCTTGTAACAAAGCGGGACTGTTCGGTAGTATTTCTTGCAAATAAAGGGACCACAAAACTTGTTAAATATCCTGATTTATACATTTGTATAAATATGTTGTACTGATTACATTAGATTGAAGTACTTTTTAATCTGGTGAGACCATCAGACCATTTGATGATGTTCTGCCGCTTTAGAATATTCTATTTTCCAATGCTCTACATCAGGTTTTTAGCGTAGGGCTCACAACCTCCTGTTGATCTTGGACAGAGGACGGGTGAAAAGGATTAAGGTTTATTACTCAAGTATAATTCCAACTGTTTAAAAAAACACTTTTGTTGAAGTTGGAGTATCATCTTAAGCTTTTTACTCCAATAAAGGAGTAAAAGTACCATTTATGAAACTACTTACAAGTAAAAAAAAAAAGAAAAAAGTAATGCAGAAAAAAGATGTTAAGGACAGATGCTTTACTGCACTAGCCTTTCTTTTATTCAATTTTATTATTTTTTTATTTGATCAGGGTTAACGCACAAAAAAACATTAGTCTAAGAAAAAACAGATGCCAGGTTACAGCAAAAATGCTACTTTCAACTTTTTGATGTTAAACTCTAAAGGAACATTTTTCTACAATTCTGGATGATAACTTCCTTAGACGTAGTTTTCTGAGTTTTATAACTATTGGTAACAGTCAAGTTTAACTTTGCATATTTTTTAAAACTATTTATTTTGGTATGTGGCGAACAACAGGTTGAGGCAGCACCGAGTCCAACCACCAAGAAATTAATTGTCTCGATAAAACAAATAATTTTGATGGTTTTTATTTCTTTTATATACAAACAGGCCAAAAGGGAAATGAGCTCAAATGTATGGAAGAAAAACTGTCTCATTGGAATCTGACTTTTTTGTAAACCGAGTTTTAAACACTGAATTTTTTTTAGGACTGAATTTTAAATACTGATTTTTTTTACACATTGAATTCCTTACACTGAATTTTTATCTGGTATAAATTCAGCTGCAAATAAAATTGTCTGCAAATTATGTGCAGCTGAATTTTTTGTATTAATTCAGTGTTTAAAATTTGGTACTAAAAAAAAGTCCAACACATGTAAGGCAGGATTTTCATTCTCAAAATATGCTAACAAATGTTGTTGGAATGTGATTAATATGTGAAAAAACAAATGATCAAACTATTTGTATAGATCAATATTAACCATATTCAGATTTTTTTTTTATTTTTGCAAAAAATATTTGCTTATTCAGCCGAAAAGAGATTGTTCAAAGATGATCTAGTTTATGCAGAAACTCACAAAATCTTTAGAAAAAAAGATTCCAATGAGAATGTTTTTCTTAAATGAAACAAAACTAATGAGACTATGTTTAAAATGTGAAGAGTATAAAGTGAAAAGTTGTCTAAAAAATATTTCATCCAGTAAAGTATACATAGCCAAAATGTAAGGTAACAAAGTATTCATACTTTGTTGCTTGAAGTATTCATACTTTGTTGCTTGTAGTATTCATACTTTGTTGCTTGTAGTATTCACACTTTGTTGCTTGTAGTATTCACACTTTGTTGCTTGTAGTATTCATACTTTGTTGCTTGTAGTATTCATACTTTGTTGCTTGTAGTATTCATACTTTGTTGCTTGTAGTATTCATACTTTGTTGCTTGTAGTATTCACACTTTGTTGCTTGTAGTATTCACACTTTGTTGCTTGTAGTATTCATACTTTGTTGCTTGTAGTATTCACACTTTGTTGCTTGTAGCATTCATACTTTGTTGCTTGACAGCTGTGCTCCTCGAGGGTTCTTGGACTTTTACCTATTAAGCCTAAAGGGCTGATAAAGCTAAACTAGGCCAAGCTAAAACATTTACATTTACTGTTTTATCAAAAAATAAATCAGGCATACTAGCAAATACAATATCACTTAAAGTAGAAAAAAGATTCTGTTTTATGTGACCTTTAATCAAATACCAGATGTTTGTATCTAGACCTAATAACCGTAGAGAAATTCTTTATTTTATTGTACATTTCTGTGTTTGCTTAATGGTTGTTTTTTCTCCATCACCTCAACTCCCAATATGACTGTTGAAAGGTTTGAACCAATCACCCTTGGAGCGAATATGGTGAGAGTGCTCTGTCTCTGCTTTAATCTGGGGGCCACGGGCCCCGGCTCTACATTCATAATTAAGTACTGTTTAAGCAGGATTGTCTTCTGTGTGCGCATTCTTATCTTCAACACTCACCGCGGGTGAAACCATCCTTGTGGACGTACCACACAGGTCCAGCCTCGTACCACACGTCCTTCACCTGACAGGGAGAGCAGCAAAGCAAAACAAAATGAATAATGTATATGTAATTCTTAGCTGTGAATCAAAGTCAAAATTCTGCAAAACGATTTAAATCTTTTTCTGGTTATTTGTTTCTCAGCAGATATTCTTTATAGTAGGCAGTGATAAATGTCTATGTAAAAACATTTTTTCCTTTTTCCTATTATTGAATGGATGTGTTCTTTTTGTCCTCTGACATGGGAACTGACTTGGAGCTCATCTGCCTGGCTGTGTGTTTCCTGGTTGGGGCCGCCGGTGGAGCTGAATGACAAGATCCTTTCTGTATCTCTGCTTCTGTCTCCTTGAACCCCAGTCAGCCTCAGCAGATGGCCGATCACACTGAGCCTGTTCTGCTGGAGGTTTCTTCCTGTTAAAAATGAGTTTTTCCTTTCCACTGTCACTACATGCATGTTTGGTGTAAGGGATTCGATGCAATCATCTGGTTTTCCTCAAATAGGAAACTTTGAATCAATTTGACTGGATGATCTGATTGAACTGTAAAGTGCCTTGAGATGACGTGTTGTCTAAATTGGCGCTATAAAAAAAAAAAACTGAATTGAATGTCTTTCCAAGATAAAGAAAAAAAATTAAGAATATTTAATACTAGTAAGATGCAAAAAAAATAAGAAAAGACACACATCTTTAATCTTTTTTTATCCCTAAATAAAATCCCTGAGCTTTTGTTTGAAAGCCTGATGGATATTGACAAACCTGTGACCTCAGTTTCCTAAAAATCAACACAATTAGGAAGTGTTGTACCTTCTCCTCAGACTTTAACCCTACTACCTCTATGAGACTTTAATACCCATTTAAACCATCAGGAGTCTGGCTTATATCCAGCATAGTTATAAAATTAAATAGGCCCACAGAAAAACATGAGACAAAGTGTCCCTGACAATAAAGTAACCAACATGCAATACTGTACCTCTTTCCTTTCCTGCTCTGTTACAGTTGTGTCCGCCTGCCTTCCCTCAGGTTCCTGCCTCTCTTCAATCTCATTCTGGTTTCTTTCCACCTGCTTCACCTCCTCTATCGTCTCCTCTTTCCGCTCGGGCTGCATTGGCTTCTTGCTGCTCGTTTCCTGCTTCTTTGCCTGCTGCTGGTTTTGCTTTGGTGGCTCTGGTGTTACAGTTTGTCTGCCTTCCAGTTTACTGTCAGAGTCTGGAGTCATTATGTGGCGCTGAGATGAGGCCCTGCCGTCTGACTGGGCAGAGTTGGACCTTTTCTGTTTGCTGTTGTTGACCTGTTCAGCCCGCAGCGCCATCTCTGCCTCGAGGATTGGAGGAGTCTGATCTGGGACCAGAAACTGTTGCACTAGGTTGTCGCTCAGTTTGCTCGGCTGAATTCGGGAAGTAATATAAAGCAGATTAAACTCTTTGGATGCTGTAAAATTTTACTTTTCAGTAGCTCTTATTATATGGTAAGGAGAGGTACCTGCTTAACACCCTGAGACATATACACAAAGATAAAAACAGTTATATTAAAAGGTAACACTCTCTGGTAGTTAAAGGTTGAAATGTTCTAAAATGTTGAGGGTTTTTTTTTTATCTTTTGTGTTACTAAAATGAAGTCTGATTCAGTTATAACCTTGTTTTATATTCAGTCTTTAACTAGTTCATGTCTTTAGCGACTTCAATGTCAACAACAATGATAACAACATTCAGTGTCCTGAACATGGAGCCCTGAGGAACCCCACATTTGATGTTTGCTCATTCCGATTAATTACTTTCAAAATAAAAGTTTTTATCATTTATTGACAGTATGTGATCATTTCATTTCTAAAGAACTTACAGAAGTTTGTATTCTGAATTTGAGCGGACTTTTCCTTTAAAATGTAAATAAGAAAATGAAATCTGCCGAGGACAATTTAGACAATTTAGCTCCTAAAAGTCTCGTCCCCTCTGCAGTCCACCCATCTATGATGTGATAATAACCAGTTTAAATTGTAGCACAGAGGTGCAGTTACACAAAAACTGAAGTTCATTACTGATAGGATGTTTTTTCTTTCATTAATTTTTTTATTCTAGTAGATAATCTGTAAAAGATGCAAAAGTCAAGTTAATTTTTTTCTTTTTTTAACCAAATAACAAGGCATAAGATATTTTTTAACAATAATATGAGGAATGTTTTTTTTAGATATGTTTTAATCCATTAACTCACTCTTTTAGTGCTTTAAGCAGGGGCGTGCACACATAGACACTAGGTGGTGCTAAAGCACTAGGAAGTTTGCCCTCTATCAAAGAAAATGCCCTTTTGAAACTCGTTTTTTTTTATTATTATTAATATTATTAAGATTTTACTGAGGTCGGTTTTGAAATGATCTTTTGAAAACCTGAGCCATAAAAAACGACTGAAACAATGCCCCGAAATGAGCCACCTACTTGCGCACACCCGACCAGCCTCTCTCTCTTCCTTTGTCACGTGAACTCGCTCGGTCGCCCGCAGGGCATGCCAGATGCGCAGCATCATAGCAGTTTTCAGATAGCAGGAACGGTCGCTGACAGGCTGCTTCTCCCGTGCCCCATTAGCCAGGTAATATACAGATCAAGCAGAATCATTTTGTTGTGCATTAAAATGTCTCATTCAGCAGCACCAAACACGCATTTTGCTGACTGGTCACCAGATAAACTAGTTGTCTCCTTGTAAGATGCTATTTTACTTTTTATATTTTGTATCCATATTTTTTATCTTAAGTGTATACATTAGTCTATTTTATTGCATGACGTATACCCACAGTTTTGAGATATTTTTATAATTTTATTTACCTATTCCATATTATATGTTTCATGTTGCACGATTGTACCATAAAAAATTCCTAGTTTGTGAACTCCTTCACTAACAATGGCAATAAACCTGATTCTGATTCTGAAAGTTTTACACTGCAGCCCAAGTCAATGACAGATAACGTGAGGACGACCACATAGGCTACAAATAATTTTGGTAGAGTATTCAATTGCAAATACGGAAGAGGATAAGGGCCACTGAAAAAAAAAAATTAGTTAACTGATTTTTAAATTTTATTTCAGTTTAGTATGGGAAAAAAGTCAGAATGCTGACTTTAATCTCATAATTCTAACTTTTTTCTCATAATTCTGACTTTTTGCTCAGTATTCTGACTTTAATCTCAGAATTCTGACTTTTTTCCCATGTTAAACTGAAATAAAATTTAAAAATCAGTTAACTTTTTTTTTTTTCAGTGGCCCTAATCCTCTTCTGTACAAATCTATGTGTTAAGACAAACGTTTTCTGTTGTATAGGTTTTGTTAGGCAACATAAATTAACACATTTTGGTCTCTTTATTGTCTTAATTGTATATTGATTTGGTAATTGCAGCACAATGCCAAGAAAGGAGGGTTAATCATATTGAAAAATCTTAAAAGCTGTTCACATTTTATTTTTAAGTGGTTTGTGCAGCAGGTATTAAAATAGCTATTATTTTGTAGGCTACCATAAGTCATATCCACGTGACAAGACTTCCAGTCATGTTGCCCTAATTTAAACTAATGTGGCATATTTGTTAAAGCTATTATTATTATTATTATTATTATTATTATTATTATTATTATTATTATTATTATTATTATTATTATTATTATTATTATTATTATTATTATTATTATTATTATTATTATCATTATTATTATTATTATTGTCATGATGGTTATTATTAATATATTGTAGCCAGTCACAGCAGGGAAGCTCTATACCATCAACATATAACAGGACAGGAGATGAGGAAGAGTTCAGGGAAGACACAGAGACAGAAAAAGACCAGGATGAGGGAGAACAGGGAGATGAGCCAGATGAAAGAAGTATGCTTTAGTCTTTTCTGTTGGTGATGTGACTTTTTTCCATTGAAAACTCACGTTTAGAGAATGTTACAAATAAAAGTCAAATTTAATTAAACATGCGTTTATTTTTTTTTATAATTAAGTGTTACACGTGCGCTAAAAAGTGCCCCCCCCCCCCCCCCCCCCCCCCCCCCCCCCCCCCCCCCCCCCCCCCCCCCCTCCTGAGCACCTGCCCCCCAAAATGTCTGTGCACGCCTCTGGCTTTAAGGTCTTAATTTTCTAAGCTACACTGCAAACAATTCAAATCTTAATAAGTAATTTTTTCTTAAAATAACTGCATTTTTTATTGGATTGAGGGGGTAAGTGAGACACTTTGCCAATGGAACAAGACAATTTATATTTAAAATAAGAAAAAACAATTGCATTGTCTTGTTTCAAGTGCATTTTTATCTTATTATCTTATTTTAAGAGTAAAAATACTCATACCATTGGCAAATCCTCTTATTTATCTACTCAAATTAAGGTTTAATTCACTTAATTTAAGAAATCTTCACTTATTTTTTCTAGATTGTTTTTGCAGTGTATGTATCAATGAACTTACTGCTCTCTCCTCTTTGACCTCTTTGACCTCTGGCTCTTTATGTTTGGTCTCCTTCTCTGAATCTCTGACGAGCTGTTTCAGGATGCCTCCTGGCAGAACCGACAGCGGCGGTGGAGGGATGGTTGCAGGCACCGGTTTGTTCTCTTCCTTTATCTGTTGTTTTAGGAATTAAAGGAATCAGACAGAATTTGACAGAAATAGAAGTCATTGTGATGTTTACTGACAGAGAAATTGGTAGCATGCTCGGTCGACCATTATATCAGATATTTGAGATGGGATCACAGTTTTTAGGGTCTGCAACCCTGCAGCTCCAGAGCTGCAAGTGCCTCACTTATTAAATTAAACAACGAACCGTTGTGTGGTTTGTTTGTTTCACTCTATTGTTCTTAAGCCCAATTTAGAAACCATCCCTACTTAGAAACTTCTCCATTTTAAATCACAATTCAAAACTCATCTGTTTAAAAGTGCCTATTGTCTTTAGTACTCATTTCCCTGTTCCAGCATTTTAGTTTTTTAAATGTTTTTTATTCTGTGTTTAAATTTTATTTCTGCCATTTTTTTTTTGTACGCTGACCTTGAGTGTCCAGAAAGGCGCCTTTAAAATAAAATTTATTATTATTATAATAAAAACACCTGCCCCACCTCAATACAGCTGCATACAATTTACTTAAAGCTGAAGATTTTGTGAGCTTCTGGATAAAATAGATCATCTTTGAACAATGATATACTCTTTTAGGTTTAATAAGCAAATATTTTTTGCAAAAAAAAAAATAAAAATCTGAATATGGTTAATATTGATCTATAAAAATAGTTTGATCATAGTTTTTTTTCAAACACTCTCTTTATTGGTCTTTCACATATTAATCACATTCCAACAACATTAGGAAAAATGACTTGTTTGCATATTTTGAGAATGAAAACCATGCCTTACATGTGTTGGACCTTAAACTTAAAATAAACAACAAAGTAAAACTATTACTTATGTATACAATATTTATACTAAATAGTTTGACCATTGATTTCCTGATCGGCAGGTTCTTAGATGTGAAACAATTATGTCCACCGATCTTATCTACCTCTGCAAAGAGTACAGTCAATGATCTAAAGTTTTTATTTTTATCAGAGAGTATTGTATCTCATGCAGTTTAAACAAGCATTTAATATTTAATGAGATTTGTTATTTTTCTCATCAAAATAAGGTTGAAACCTTAAAGGTTTATTGTGACTTTATAACATCATTAAAATCATTATTGGTCAAAATCAGAATTTGAATGTCTGTTTTATTCTAACATCGGTGATTGGCCAGAAAACTGCAATCGGGGAACCCTAATTGAAAAGATTACTGGTACCATTAGGGTTATTTCATGCTGTGTGTGTGGCCCTTGTCCTATGCATGTATGAATCATATATATATGCATTTGTGAAAATTGAGACCAATCTAGTTCCATAAGAATCCACCATGACTTTAGAGTTGCTCAGGTTAATGTTTTATCAACATTTTATGTTTTATGACCTTAAACTGTTTAAATGGTTGTTAATTTATGAATAAGTATGTCCTAAATATAAGGCTCCTTCTGATTATGAAATTCTAATGTTTTAGAATAAATCTTAATGAATTCATGATCGGTATTTAAGGAGTCCGTCTCTGTCAGGTGTTAGGTTTGGTGACATGTGCCTCCCTGGCAGCTGCTGACTGTAAAAACAAAATAGATTTTTAACAGACATGACAAAGAATCCATGAGGATGTTCTAAGCCAGACCTGATCAAACCTGTGTAATTTAGTACCTCTTGGTATTTTCTTCTGTAGAAGTAGCTTTGGTCCTTTTACTTCTCTCCCCTAAACTTTCCAAAATAATGTTACCGTAGATAAGATGAATATTGTAATCTTAAAGGTTGAACTGAATATCTAGAACTGAATATCTCACTAAACACAAACATAGACCTGATGTAGACCTGGTGTTAAAGAAGTCTACAGGTAAAGTTAGAATTGAACACTCATAAGGTTTGGAAAAAGATATCTGTAAATCATGCAAATGCACCAAAACATAAAACAAATAGAGATTCTGTTGATCCAGTTTGAGAGAATTCAAAACATTTATCAGCTCAGATTAAACAACTGAGAATCACGATAGATCGGAGCACTAGACCTGAAAAGATTAGGCAGATTTTGATTTATAGATCTAATAATAGAAGTTTAGTTTGTCTTGGTATGGGTAAAATCTCATTGGTCAATCCTCCATCAGAATATTTATCCAAAGTAGATGAGGATCACATTTCCAAAGTGTTTCCTAATCACTGACTAGTTAAGGTTGGAGGGTCCTGAAAGTAATTTATTTGTTGCTGTGTGATTGTTTAACTTCTATTACTGTTTGTCCACTTTCCTTCTGCTTGTTAGTCTCAGAACACAAAAGCTCTGCATTTTGATTGAATAAAATCAAAATCAATCCAATTTTAGTCCGTGAGGCAGACACCCTGTCTACTTTTAAGGCTAGGCTTAAAACTTTCCTTTTTTATAAAGCCTATAGTTAGAGTGGCTCAGGTTATCCTGAGCTATCTCTATAGTTATGCTGCTATAGGCTTAGACTGCTTCATTCTATCTCTATTCTCCCACTCTGCAGAATCTTAGTTCAATCTGTAACGTTCTGCTCTCTCTGCTTCTTCTCATAGTAGCTTCATCTGGTCTGTTCCTGTTTGGCTGTGACTCCATCCTGAAGAGAAATATCAGCTGTGCTGCTGCCATCAACACCTTTGTTTATAGATGTTCAAGATCGGCCTGTTTTTTCGGTGGGGTCCTGTTTCTCTGACTGGGACTAACTGGATGTGCTCTCTTCATCCTCTGACATGGAAGCTGGCTCGGAGCTCGTCTGCCTGGCAGTGTGTTTCCTGGACGGGGCCGTCTGTGGAGCTAGTTTACAGCTACCTTTTTTTTTTATCTCTGCTTCTTTTTGTATCTCTGCTTCTGTCTCCTTGAACCCCAGTCGGTCTCACTGGTTCTGCTGGAGGTTTCTTCCTGCTAAAAGGGAGTTTTACCTCTCCACTGTCGCTACAAGCATGCTTAGTGTGAGGGATTACTGAAGAGTCAATGAGTCAATGCAATCAACTGGTTTTCATTAGATAGAAAACTTTGAATCAATTTGACCTTATGATCTGGTTAAACTATAAAGATGCTTGAGATGTTGTAAATTTGTGCTATAGAAATAAAATGAACTGAATTGAACAAAATTTAAAAAGAAAACAAACAAATGCTTAGCTTTAGGTCTAAAATTGTCTAGGTATATTTGTCTATAATATCTGTCTGTAGTGTTTACTGTTAGCATTGGATGTAAATAAATAATGGCCTTAAAATCAACTATCGATTGATGATGATCAATTTGTATATCCTATAGTTTACCCTAAATTAAAATTTGTTCCAATAATTAATTGCTAGTGTCTGCTTAGAAGGAATTTCTTTCAGTGTTGTAATGTTGCTGTCCACTAGAGAGCGCTACTCTAGAAGCACAGATCTATATCACAGTTGAACTAAGGTAACATATAGTCTATCAGTATGTCAAAACGACGTCTTTTAATCAGTTTCCCTGGAATCATAATCATTTCATATCTTTCATTCATATTATTTAGCGACCTAGTAGATTCCTGTTTTGTTATATCTTATAAATAAGTTTATTAATCTGTAAGAAAACGTGTTTTTCTTTATTCAGTCAGTGTTTGATACAGGCTGCAGAATTTTTTTTATTTAGCAGATTACTAAGAAAATATTTTATCCTTCATGTAATGGAAAGATAAATGATCACTAATCAATTAATCGATTTTTATTGATTTAATTTTTTCAACTATATAAAGGACATTTAATGTGGCGTTAAGTTTATACTAATGAATGTGTGTATATATGTTGTTGTTTTTCCTTTTCTACATATTGTTTAATCTTTCGCTTTTAATGGTGGAAATCGTCTGAAATAAACTCATTAAATTAATCAGTTGTTATTTAATCAATACAATCAATCACCTTTAGATCAATTCAATAATCAATAAATAGCATTACTTCACCTTTATCATTTTAGTTTTGGGTCTGATTTCTAAAAAAATCAAAGTTGTTGATTTTCCACCCCAGCGTTAGGTCTCTAAGCTATGTGGAGAATTTTTGTCACCATGCAGGTAAAGCTTTTAGCTGAGGCATGTAAAAGCTCCAGCAGGCTGGTGAAAGGCATTTCAAGCACCCTCATGTAAATCCTGGTCTATATTTGTCATTAGGATAAAAATCCAAAGGTAATTGTTGCTGGAAAGAACTGAGATTAGAAACAAACCAGCTGGTTCCTCTGGTTTGGTTTCCATTAAATAAAACTGCATCATCCAAAGACGGTTTAGATCTGTTGGAAATTAGAAACTGAATAAATATCCCAGCACCTTTCTATAAATACCACTGCTAATTTTACATTCATGTTTCGCACATTAGAACTACGGAGGCTGAGAGCGGCCGTGTCCCTCCGATACTTTCAAGTGTGGTTTTCTCAAGAAAACGAGTTCATTTTGGACAAATCATCAAAGTAAGACAATGTTATTGGTTTGATGATTTGCTTCCACTTCTGATACATAAGGACTTAGCTCTATGTCTCCAGGTGTTTTCTGAACAGCCCTGGTGTTACGCCTTTAACAGGTGTAAGATGCATAAACCTCCAAAATTAGTCCATATTAAAGATTTTCATTTAAAAAGTTAGATTTTTTCTACTGTATTCCATGCAATCTAATCATCCAGCACAACCTGATAATAAGTGAAAAGAAAAAGGAAACTAAAAAATCACATTATTTGCGCACACGTAGCACCGCAATGGCAAGACTACTGGCACTGCAGGCATGGATGGACTGGGAATCCGGGGCTGCTGGCCAGCATCATTCATTACTCATACAGGTTAATCATCTCATTATCTCAAGGAATCAATAAATGTTTTTCTCGGGATGACGAGAAAACAATTAATGGTTTAACCAGGATAACGAGATAGTTATGTCATTATCTCGAGAGGGCAAACGGAAAAAAAAAGTGGAGTATGACTGCTCTCGGCTTCCGTATTAAACAGATCTACAGCCGCTTTTTGTTTTTGTCTTGGAACAATGTTCTGCTAAGTTCGCCTTTAACAAGAAGTGTCAAACTATAGCTGTTAGATTTTGCAGAATAAATAAATCTGTAACAAGGTTGAGTTAAATGTGCAAAATGTGACAAATTTTTCATGCTATACTACTGTAAGGTTCATGTTTCAAATGGTAGATAATGGTATTTAGACCATGAGGTCTAAATAAGATGTTCAGGTTTTGAAATTCCACGTTTCTTTGGGATCCTGTGTCCAACCAACATAGTAAAGCATCCATCAGCTGGAAGGAAAAGGATGAAAATTGTCCAAACTTGTTGCATGGAGGCTAGAAGTATGGAGGACCAGGAGAGTTACTGGCATTTCTTAACTGCAAAGTTTAAATTAAAGCATCAAGGAGGAACATTTATTTTTTTTTGTTCTATTATTACTGCAATGGAAAAAATTATTTTCAACTCCTATTTTTAATTGAAAATTAAAAACCTTAATTAATAAATATAATTCCACATGAAACATTTAAAAAGATTTTTCCTTTTTTCATCATTTTTTTACCTTGAAAATTCAGAAAATAATTTTTGAAGTTGCATTTTTTTTCTCAATTTAACCTCTTTCCATGACCTCTGGTCGCTGAGCAGAATGGAAACCGAGTTAAACTGAGTTTCTCTTCGGATGTAACCAGGTTAGAAATCCGTACCTTGATCAGGGTAATGGTTTGCTGTGCCTGCACACTTTGTAACCAAAGCAACTGGAGGAATAACAGTTCAGTCTCATCTAGGAGAGAAACTTTCTCCCAGTTGCTTGAAAAATGCTTTAGTCCAGGGGTCTTCAACGTTTTCCAGGCCAAGGACCCCAAAACTGATGCCGATGGCGAACTGATGGAGCGGGGACCCCCTAATTATATATATTGTATGAAATTGTGTTATATAAAACTGGTCCTATAGTCACTCTATTACAGATATAGTCATGTAACAAAGGTAATTTCTCCCTAGGATTATTAAGGTATTCCTGATTCTGCTTCCTGGTTTTGGACAGGTGTTGTGAATGAAACGGTGCCCAGCTTGAAAGAGCTCCTGTGTGTCGCTGAATGTGTGCATTGATGACTGAAAGACATCTTCTGCCTCCATTTATCTGTTTACTGCAGTGTGTTGAATTCATGTTAATGTGGATTTAAAGACATTTCAATTTCAAAAAATTGCAGGGGGGAATATAAAAAAAAGTCTAATCAACAAAAACTTTTGCGACCCCCATGCAGTACCTCTGTGGACCCTTTAGGCATCGCAGACCCCCTGTTGAGTTTAGAGTTTAAACTTCCCTGCAGAAGTCTCCTTAAAGCTCTCGCATCATCTGCACCTGTATTGTTGAGCTAGCTGGATAAAGTGATCCCTGTGCTGCTCCACATGTTGCTTGCTGCTTCGCTCTCCATGTGGGAGCTTGATCTACGATTTAAACCAGGATGAGTTTTCAAAGCATTGGCAGCTGACCTCTTTCTGTAGCCATTTTGTTCTTGTTATTATCTAACCAATGAGAGAGCTGGTTTCATCCAGAGCAACTTTGATTAGTTACCTTGGTTTCCAGTGTTTTCACACAGAAGCTAAACTACGAGGATAAATGAAAAAGAGCATTTAAGGGAAAAAATGAGGTGGAAACAGGATTTACCTTTTTAAATGTTTGATAAAGAAAAAAAATCTATAATCAGTGGTTTTTAAATCTCCTTTTAGAAATAGAATCTAACATTCTCGCTATTCTTTAACTGCAATATTTAATAATGAATTAATAAAAACAATTTAAAATTCCCCTTTAAACTTTCAATTTAAAATTTGCAATTACAGAAACTCCTCAGATTGTATTTAAAATGTTTGCATTTCTATTTCAGTGGCTCTCCTGGTCTTCCATATGTTTATTTTGGAATGTCTTATAAAAGTTTTCTAACATACACAAGAACAAGTTTAGGAGCATAAAACACCATTGGATCCAGAAGATGTTCAGAGGTCAAGACTTTTCTAAACCACTTCATGCTTTTTCCTCACATCAAACAAGCACACTTTTACACTCAACCTGCAGTAATAACATTCTGAGCAAAGTCTGCAAGCATGTATGAAGCACTGTGCATCTCTGTGAAGCTATTGCTGTGTTTTATATCTTCTGTTGACTCCTGACTTTTGCATCACATCTTGACCAAGAATAGGCTTTGATTGAGCTTTTGTTTCTCCAGGAACAGCTCGGGGTCCTCTTATTGTCTTGGGTTTGTTGGAGAGCAGCTTTAGGATGTTATAAATAGAGGCGTGAACATGCAGGATGACTAGAAGACTGAAACTGTGCAGTGACATGCCACAGTGACTCAGCATCAGAGCAGGAGCTCCTAATGACTGTGTAATCAATGCCTCATCCCATCACACACAAACACACAGATTAGATGTTAGAGGTAGAAGGAAGTCAGCATGCAGCCGCTCTGCACCTCCCTTCTGCTCCCACAGCTTTAAGCGTGAAGACAACGCCATGGTTGCTCCAAGGAGGAAGGAGGGGTTCAGGGATGAGTAGCAGGTGGTCGTGGGGAGGAGGGGTCCCAGTGATGTCAGCCAGTGGTGGTGTGTGTGTGAGACGACCTAGCATTGAGAGAAGCTGTTAAAAAGAGGGAAGTTATGGAGCTTTTCTGTCCCAGAGGAGCCCGGCAACAAAACAAACGCACCCATCCCTGTGGCGCTGTTTGCTGCTGATCAGATTAATCTTTGTATCTGTACGAATACTTTTCCTTAAGGAAGTGATTTCTGATTAAAGGTTATGTCTTTTTTCTTCTTAAGATAAATATATCTGCTCATTATTGGAGCACATAAGTTATGACAGAGTAATGGGCCCGGCTTGAGATCTTATTTTCTTCTATTTCGAGAATAAAGTCGTAAAATTATGAGAAAGAAGTTGTATTTCATGACAACTCTTACAAGAAGCACTTTCCTCCCTAAAATGAGGAATGTTGAGCATCATGTGAAGTTAGACTTTGACCTACTGCCCAGTTTGATGATGGTTCAATAACAGATTTCCTTATTTGTCAAATAGATGCCAAAGTGGACTGAGGTTGCTGATTGGTGGAGCTGATCGGTCGTCATCTGCTGGTTGGAGCTTGAAGCTTTCTTTCTGAAACGGGTTATTGTATGATGACTTCATTTTCGTAATGGTACAACCTTATTCTCATAATGTTACGACTTTATTCTGATAATATTATGACTTTATTTTTGTAATCTTACAACTTTATTCTCGTAATTATGTGACTTGATTTTCGTAATGTTCGTTTTTATTCTAAATATCGAAAAAAGAAAACTCTAGCCTGGCCCTAATATTCCGTTGTGCATGAGTCGGATGATCCGCCATTAGAAGCTGTGTTTTTGGCCTTAGAATACAATAACTATATAATATACACATAGAATAAGATGATGGAGACATACTTTCTGACTTTAATATGGATTATCTTATTCTATTGACAAATTTTCCTAATTATGTGAAAATACATTTATTTCATTGAAACTGGCCTACTTGGATTTTCATTTCGTCTGTTGCCCTGGAGATCAGCTCTGATTTAATTCTCAGAGGTGAATGATTTCATCTCATTAGGAGAAACAGATTAAGTTAAAATGAAAATAATAAGAGAATCTGAGAACTGAAACATTGAGCAGTGAAAGATAGAACCAAGTCTATTTCTGAAAGAGACACAGTTTCTGCCAGTAAGGACATTAAGCTGAGACGTATATGAATATGAGTTCAGGGAAAAGCTCTCTGTGAGTTTTTATTCTCAGGAGAGGAAATTAAGAAAAATAAGAAAGATGCGTTGGTTGATTGGTAGTTATCTTTCCACTTTTCTTTTCAACTGCAAGATTATGAATTAAACGACAGAGTATTAGGGCCAGGCTAGAGATAATTTTTTTTTATTTCGAGAATAAAGTCGTAATATTGTTAGGATTCCAGTTTGTGTGGGTTGTTTTTGTGTTTTTCTTCTCTCCACCACCAGATGGTGCCCCGTCCTCGTTGGGCCTCCTTGCACACCTGCGGTTCGTTGGGTCTTTACCAGAGGAGTATTTGAGCAGCGGGCTGTCGTTACCTCGACGCCAGAGTGTTTGCCAGTATTGGGTACTCTAGCCAAACTGAGATTATAGAGTCTAACCGTAGTCTTGTCTCTCTGAGTCTAAGCTTGTTTTAGTCTTTGTTCTTCGACAGGAAGCCTTCCTGAATCACAGGATAAGCCTGGACCTTCTACCCCTGGAAGGATTATCTGAGTCACACTAAGCAAGAGGAAACCTCCACATGATCCGTTCAAGTCCACTTCTGGAAAACCAGGTGACAGTCCGCTCTTTTACTCCTCTGGGTCCAACGTTAGTCTACCTGTTCGTTCTCCAACGAGTTCCTTCTTCTCTGGATTTAACCTCATAAACTGGATCCAAGGAATAACCAAGAGCCCCCCCAAAACGTGAGTGCCTCTCAAGCATTATAGAAGCCTCTGTCTTTTTTCCCATAGTCCCTAAACTGAACATTGTGATCTCCCCTTCAGAGTTTCCGGTTCCGGTTCACCAGTCTGCTGAGGTCCAACAGTGTCACCCAGCAGAATATCTCTCTCCATCTGTGTTTTTGCTAACCCACAATAAACCAGTTAACTTTTACCCTTGGTCTCTGAGTGGTTCTCTGCATGTGGGTCAGATATTTAAAGCCCATTATGACAAAAATTATGAGAATTAGGTCATAAAATTACGAGAATAAACTCATAACATTACGAGACCAAAGAAAAAACAAAATTACGAGAATAAAGTTGTAACATTTCGAGAACAAATAAAAAAAAATACGAGAATAAAGTCATGGATTACAAGAAAAAAGTTGTAATAATATGAGAATAAAGATTTATTTCATGATAAGTCTTACAAAAAGCTCTTTCTTCCCTAAAAGGAGGAATTTTGAGCATCATGTGAAGTTAGACTTTGGCTCTGGTTTGACAAATAAGGAAATCTTTTAGCAGCAGCATTAAATTGGGCTCAACGTAGACTCAGGTTGCTGATTGGTGGAGCTGGTCGGCCGTCACATGCTGCTCGGTGTTTGAAGGCTACTTTCTGAAACATGTTGTGGTATGATTACTTAATTCTCATAATATTACAATTTTATTCTCAAAATAAAGGAATAAAAGAAATCTCTACATGGCCCTAATACTCCGTGGTACGACTGACATTCATTCACAAATTAAGAAAAACAGTTTAAGTTGCCATGAAAGCCGTGAGCACTCTGGATTCAGAAGCTTACTTCCTCAGGATTTAAGATTGAGACGATCGGGAGGAAAACATTCAATGTATGTCGTATGAAGTTACTCTGCATTGATTTGCCAAATGTTTTACATCATTATCTTGCTAAGAAATACAGGAGTGGTTCAATCATTGAGCTGCTTTTCTGGTTTCATCTTTTGTTTCACACCAAACCCACCTGGAGTGTTTGCTTCCTCAAAGCTCGAGCCTCAGCAGCCATTTAAAGTCCCAGTAGAGTTCAGCAACGTTAACATTAGTCATTCTAAAACTGAGATTATAACGCAGAACGGCTGGAGTTCTGCACCCAAGAAACAAAAACCTCATCATTCACTTATAAAGGCTCCTACAAACAGTGAGAAAAATAAAAAAGTACAGCAGAAAATAAAACATGGTTTTTAATTCATTGGAATACTAATAGAATAAATCCCCTGATTTTATTAAAACATAATTGTACCAAACATTTTACCAAATTGTTTGTTTACAGTGAATAAATGTCTTCACACCAAAAGCTTGATTATATTGATGCAATCAGAAATGGATTCAGTTTCTTTTTACACATCTTTGTTCACAGCTGTGAATCACATAATGGTAATTATGTGACTTGATTTTCGTAATGTTCGTTTTTATTCTAAATATCGAAAAAAGAAAACTCTAGCCTGGCCCTAATATTCCGTTGTGCATGAGTCGGATGATCCGCCATTAGAAGCTGTGTTTTTGGCCTTAGAATACAATAACTATATAATATACACATAGAATAAGATGATGGAGACATATTTTCTCACTTTAATATGGATTATCTTATTCTATTGACAAATTTTCCTAATTATGTGAAAATACATTTATTTCAAGGAAACTGGCCTACTTGGATTTTCATTTCATCTGTTGCCCTGGAGATCAGCTCTGATTTAATTCTCAGAGGTGAATGATTTCATCGCATTAGGAGAAACAGATTAAGTTAAAATGAAAATAATAAGAGAACCTGAGAACTGAAACATTGAGCAGTGAAAGATAGAACCAAGTCTATTTCTGAAAGAGACACAGTTTCTGCCAGTAAGGACATTAAGCTGAGATGTATATGAATATGAGCTCAAGGAAAAGCTCACTGTGAGATTTTATTCTCAGGAGAGGAAATTAAGAAAAATAAGAAAGATGTGTTGGTTGATTGGTAGTTATCTTTCCACTTTTCTTTTCAACTGCAAGATTATGAATTATACGACAGAGAATAAAGTCGTGATAATATGAGAATTAGGTAATAAAATTACGAGAATAAACTCATAACATAAACAAAGTAAAAAAAAAAATTACGACAAAAAAGTCGTAGTGAAGTAGCCTAAATGTGGATATTTCTCTCAGGAGTAGTGATTGTGACAGTGAAGCTCTGAATGCTTTGGCAGACTTTCCCAGCCATACAGAACATCTACCTAAGAACCACTTCAAAGAATCAAGGAAGACTGTTTCTTTCTTCAATTTTGACATTATCAAGAAAGCACCACAATATTGGGAGAAGATTATAAATTAAATAGATATGCTGTGGTGCCAGGATCAGAACCGTGATCCGTTCTCCGACAGCAGGTAGAGACACACTGCAAAAAATGTAAATCTTAATAAGTCATTTTTTCTTCAAATAAGTGCATTTTGTCTTGAATTGAGGAGGTAAGTGAGACACTTTGCCAATGGAACAAGACAATTAAGTTTAAATTAAGTTTAAATACACTTAATTTAAGAAATTTATACTTATTTCTACATCGTTTTCGCAGTGCAGAAACCAGTAAACTGGGATCCAACACTGGAAAAAAATCTAAATCAAGTAATTTTTCCTAAAATAAGTGCATTTTTTCTTGGATTGAGGAGGTAAAAGAAACATTTTGCCAATGGAACAAGACAATTTACACTTAAAATAAGAAAACACAATTGCACACAATTGTCTTATTTCAAGTGCATATTATCTAATTATCTTATTTTAAGAGTACAAATATTCATTCCATTGGCAAACTATCTCTTTTACCTACTCAAATTAAGGGTAAATGAACCTAATTTAAGAAATGTGTACTTATTTCTAGAAGTAGAAGTGAAGAAGAACCAAATAAATCACCATTAGTCAGGAGTTGATCCAGATGTTTAAACCAGGGTGTCTTCAGGAATCATAAAAGAGAGATTTTTAAAATATTTCTTAGGAAAACAGATAATATTCTGAAACGTACAAACTGCTTTCCGTAGAAACATGATATATAACATATATAAACATGAAGTATTTGTGTTTTTTTAGCATTAAGTCCCAACTTTTACCTTGAAAGCTCCAAAAAGTGTCCATCTGACCGAGACTACTTGCTTGGGAAACGTATTTCATGA